GCCAAACGTCGCGAAGGACTGAAGAAGGAAGGAGCATTGTGGAAAGGACGCCTTTGCCATTCGCCATGCGGTAGAGATCTTCACTGTGTTGTGCAGCTGTGATCTCATGGTCCGCATCACAGACCCGCGAGAGGGGGTCATCGAATGCCAACCAGTAATGGGGCTTTCTTGGTACCTACCTACACGATCGATGGCATAAGCGATCTGCAGCGGTCCTGGGACGGACGACCAGGCGTGCCAGTGTCTCGTCACGGCGCCTTCGGATGGCCGTCAGTACGTTATTGGATCCCGTACTGCAGATCACCACATCCCACACCACACCGCCCGTCCATCGCAGCGCGGGTGGTGGTCTCGAGCATCGAGCTACCACAAGGAGTAAACGAACGCTCAAACCGCCGCCGCCATCCACGAGAATAGTCCCAGCTCGGTATTCTCAGAGAGCATGAGGTATGTTGAGCATTAGAAAGCCAGGGAGGGACTGGACCCCTAAAAAGGGCGGCGGCGTGCGCCAGGACCGTTCAATGACCTCACCCCTTGCGTCAAGCGTAGTTCCATGGCGCGTGTGTTCTGTCATATCTCCTCTCGTCTCCCGAGGCGAGACAAGCCAAACGACGTGATGGCATTCCACTAGAAGGGCTCGAAGCTTCAGGGTCCAACAAGCCACCGACAACCAATCTAAACAACCGTCCCAACGGTGCGCCGTGGCTCAATAAGCCAAACGGCGGGCGGGCGTCAACCCCTCAGCCCTCTGCCGTCAGCTTTCAGGAGAATGTCGGTCCCCCCTTTGGTGATCGACTCGATCTGCTCAATGCGCGCGAAAGAATGCAGCACCAGCAAGCCTCGGATGGCCGATCTGCGGTACGCACATTCTTTTCTTGGATAACCAGAAATCCTGACCAACCGTGCCAACGAAGGTATGCCACTAAAAAAGTCGGTCCTACACTCCTACTACTGTGGAGGATTTCAGGGTCCATCTCGGAGGGGTCGATCAATCATGCAACGTCCGGGGTGGCATTCAATGTTCTTCTTTTTCTTTCTCTCCGCCGGGTGTCGAACCTAATTCCACCTCGACCAGTTACGTGCCAACACGGCGAGTCGAACGACGGCGATGATGATAGCATGGCCCAGGGGGTAAGCCTGTGAGGCATTCAGGGAATAGAGCAGCAAAGATGGGTGCCCGACACATGTCCAACCAACCAACGCCTGATGACGATCATTGGAAAAGTTATCGAGAGAGTTTTCTTGGCTGGTTGGTCCCAACGGTCCTTGGTTCATGGTTCATCAGCGGGCGATGACAGCCCTAGCGAAGCGGACGTCTTTGGAACGGGAGACCCTGCGATGTCGACGCCGTTGATCAGTGCCTTACGGATATACTCCGTATTCACAGGAAGGTATACGGATGCACCACTCTGCCACTCACATTACACCTCACGAATACAGGGCGGCAGGTCACAGCAGGGCTGTCAGTCCCTCAAAGGCCCCCCGTCCCCGGCTCTCCCTTTGCTCTACCCCGCCTCATTGATTGAGGCCCCCGCCATCTCCGTTCGGCACTACCGGGGGTCATCACGGGGGGGAACACGGCCGACGCCGTTACGCACCATCCAGCGTCCACGACTCCACACTACCTACCACCGTCACTAGCAAGGCCGCCATCACAACCTCCCGTCCTCTGGTACGCAGTGCGAGTACCCGACGGTCGGCCGCATCAAGCAACAACGTACATCCATGGCTTGCCGCTTCCCGGCGCCGTGCAACAACGGCATCGTGATACCCTCTCACCTCTCTGCCTTTCTTCCTCGCTCGCCTCACATACCTGTGCCCTTTGGTCCAAACCTCTTCGGTACTTGGTAAGGCAGGTCAATCCTGCTGGTGCATGGGGATACCAGCCACCGGGATCCCGCATTCTGCCTCCAAACTACGGGCTTTCCGTCGAACGGGATATGTCCTACGTGACTTTGTCCAGCAACCAAACTCAGCGAAGGCCTCTCGTCCCTCTCCGCACGTGAGGAACCTAGAAGGGATCCCGTGTTGCAGTCTCGTGCTATATTCCACTGATGCCCGTTGCGGTCGGCGGTAAGCACGTAGCCGCGGTCGCTGCAACACCTGTTGGAAGGTGCCACGCCTCGTCTTCCAAGAAGTGTATGCATTTTCTTTACCAGGATCCAACGGCCGTCATTGATGCCGTGCGACCCCGAGACGATGCTGTGCCAGAAGGATCCCAACGCCCGTTGTCGCCCCCCCAACTGCTGCTGCTGCTGCTGCTCACCTGAGATTCACCTGAAAGGTCAATTTCGAGGGTACCCGTCGACTGCTTGCATGGCAAGCGATGGCCGCGAGGTCTAGTGATTCGGGAGCGACGCATATGAGACTGTGCCTCCATCCTTTGTTTTTTCTATTTTGGCAGCACGCCTTCCACTAGGCGAGAGGATACCACTGGGTTGATGCCATGCACGTAGCTGTAAATGTAGAATTATTATCTCCATGTCATTCTGCTGCCGCCCAGCTAAAGGATGAATTCGGATGCGTTCGACGAGTGGATGGGGATAAGCCAACATGAATAGAAGGGTGTCCTACCAGCCTGGCAAGGCAGCCGGCCGCTCGTGACGTTTTTGCCGGCGTCTCGCGCGCGCGCGTATGGAGTTTGCTTTGCCTCCCGCGTTTCTCATGTTGGCTGCTCTGCCTGGATCCATGCCGTGATGCAAATGGTGACTAGCCGTAGCCTTGCGTTTTGAGACATGTGGCCTCCAGGCACGGATGGTTTCCTGTACTAAAGCTGCGGGTCGGGGCTAGGTAGCGACGGTCTTGTTTGTTTTTCCCTGCGGTGGTAACGAGCTCTGGATGAGTCAGACTGGATACAGACGTTTTTTTACGGGTTGATTCGATTGAATTCCATGCAGTCGAGGTTCTCATAGCGAGTGAATTGATGTGAGGGTGCCGACTGTGGTTTACATGGGGGCGCGAGGCTGGATGTTGAGATATCGCGCGCGGGTGGCAGGGAGCGCGTTACCCGTTTGGTGTGCAGCTTTAGTTGTGTATTTACGCAGGATCCGGCCTGGCCCCATTAGAGTCTGTCCTCTTCGTAAAAGACGAGTGATTTTGTTCTCGGGGTGGTTGGTTTGGTGTGTGATGTCGCGCGAGTTGCTGGCTACTGAATCTCAGCCTCGCGACGCCTTTTCCGTTTCGTCTCTTGATGAGACTTGGTTGTTTACCCAGTGAGATTACAAATGAGCTGGCTTGCCGTGTTACGGTTTCTCAAAACAAATGAGAAACCAAGATTGCTCGTTTTGCCAACGTTTGGAGGTTTTTTCTACGAGATTTGAAGGCAAATCAATTATTTGTGACCATAGATATAATGGTCTTTTCCGATATGTTTACTATAGTTGGACTTACAGCGATTACAGCCTCGTAATGCCCTAGTGTGAAGCATCATATCACCGACGGTATTTTCTCACTCCATCAAGTGGATTTACCCCCGTTGGAACGTTTCCAAGGTTATTGATATAATTGTCGTTGCCGCAACTCTTCACAAGCGGTACGAGGGCATCTCAGCCTCGCGTCGTGTCTGTGAGCTAGGCCAGTCTCTAGTCACGAAGATGTGCTACGCCTAGAGAAACAGAACCCTTCATTGCACTGCGGAAGGTAGTCAGAGAAGGCAAAATTTGCACTCTTGTAGTTCTTGACCCCAGGTCATCTAGATATCTATTCCTCAGAAAGTCATCTGGTGGGATCGACACCTACCGAGATATTGGGAATGCTTCCCGAAGAAATTGGAGCACATGTATGTAACATCTAGGCTCTTGAATCAAGAACAAGTAGCTACGCCATTTCTAAAGTAATCGCTGGCGAAAGAGAGAGAGAGGGAGGCGCCTCGACCTCCGTCAAGCTGGACCCTGGACCTTCCAAGGTGTTACTCCTTTACCCTCTCTGCCTACCTTCTTCACTTGACCCCGAAAGGAGGGCCATCCCATCTAACTCATTACTATAAACCCACGCGCAATGCTCCTGCTCACACTCGCTCCCACCCATCCGGGCTCAAGCTCATATCTTGGCCTCTCAAAGGAGCCCCTTCCCCCCGCCCTCCCAAGATGTACAGCTCAAGACATTGATCCACGGCCCAAAACAATATAGAGGCGAGAAAAGCATCATAGACTTGGGATCTCGAACCCCGTCGCATGATAAACAACCCTCCCGCACGGAAGAAAAAAGTTCCCATCAAAGATTCGACATGACAAGACGTGACATCTCCGTTCCGCACCGTGGGAACACTGACGGCTTATGCCCCGGATACTCAAGCTTCACAGACGGAGAGGTTGATTTGCCCAAACGCTGAAGATTAGATGAGAGCCTCTGTGCTACTCATGTCTTTGACGTCCTTCCTCTAAAAACTCGAACCCTTGACCTCCTGGACCCCTGACCCCTTTGTTCCATTGGAGCCTCTCGACCGCATATCTCGACCCCCCGCAAGCCCTTGGACCCCCGCTCCCCCATGATAGATCCGTCAACTGGCTCTCATCTTCGACCCTTCTCGTCCGTTATTGATAAAAGTTTTCATAATAGACACGTCCATTAGGGTCCAATCTCTTTAAAATGTCTCGAGCCTTGTTACGAGCACGGAAGGACTCAGGAACCGAATCATAGAAATCAGAAAAAGTCAGGAATTCAAGTATTCACCCATGTTTGCGCTGCCCCCCCCGTTCCATACTTCGCAAGGTCGGTGAGAAAGGCACAGGCTAGAAGTACGTGAACATGATGTTCGAACAGGAGGTGGAAGGGGGATTGTGCCCTCTTGACCTGTTACTACCGCAACTTGCCTTCTGTCTGAATCCATTTCCCTGCGACGAGAAGAATGCGTCGTGTTGTATACAACCGATACCATGATGGATATCACGCAATGCTGGGCACATTGTTCCTGAATATACCTGAAGCTAACACCGAGGCTTCCCCACAGCATGGCACGCTGGGGATCTGAAGTAGGCATACCAAGTCATAGCTCAACGTAGTCTCCATTTCATCTAATGCTTTTTCTTGTGTCTAAAGAGGCGCTTCGCAGTAAGAGTTGTGCCTCCCTTATCTTCGTACAAACATCTACAAGCCAGACTTCTTAGCCATGACCATTGATCAAGGCTGATCAGGGTGACCCTGGGAGCAGAGCAATGGCTTCAACCACCCCCAACACCCCTCTATTCTCGTCCTACAAACACCCCCAGCGGGCGTCTTCCCAACAAGGGACTACTCACCATGCCCCCTCACCTCTTCGCAGGCGCGGAGGCCTTCGCAGTGAAGAAGGGATGCTTCAGCGCGTCGGCGGGCTTGATCCTCTTCTCCGGGTTAAGCGTCAAGCAGTGCTCGAGCAGGTCGACAAAATGGTTCAGGTCCCTCGTCTCGGCGTCGTTCATACCCGCTGACGCGGCAAAGAGGCGGGTGCGCAGATCACGCGTTGGTTTGACGACGGGCAGGACCCTGGCGGTTGTCTGTGTGAGGATGTTGGTTAGCGACCAGCTGAACTTTTCTGCTACTATTTTCCCAACCAAAAGGGCCCATCATCGGTCCATCGACAAAATAAGGTAGTGATGCAATGGCGTAACAGGGGGCTACCGGGATAGGCTTGCTGCGGAGGGACCCTCCGGTCGGGGGAAACATTTCCTGTCAACTTTGACAAATCGACCCGACGCGTTGGACCCTTTGTGCAGGACACAAGGGGTGGCGGAGAGGCAAAAAAGCAGGGGCATGTAGGGGAAACTAGATAGGGGGCAAAGTTGAGATGATGCGGCCGTGACAAACAGTCCCTGAGACAGCTCATCCTCCGAAGATGGGAGGATTTGTTCGCGGGCCTTCCATACTGGAGGACCAGTCCACCCTAGCAAGTCATGCGAGTCCGAATAGTCCGGAGTGTTTGCTTCCAACAGTATCGTGACTGGTTCAACGTCGACAACGACCAACCTGTCAGCTGAGCGGGCATCGCGACGCGAGCGTTCCGGGGCACGCGCTCGGACTTGACTGACGGACGGCCCGCAGAGCTGTGGGAGGGTGGATGCGTGCGTACGCATGTGCAGCCGCGCCTCAGCGCTTACAGCCGCACTCCGCCTCAACTAGACCCATCTCGGGACCCCGTCGGCCAAAATAGCAACTCTGAGGGATGATTGGGTCATGGGTTCAAGTCTTGAAACGAGGCAGAATGCAGAGGCGTTGAGATATGGGGAAGAGGGGTGAAAGACAGATGCAAGCAAAACAACAACACCGAGACCACGAACCAATAACGTACCTTTCCAAGCGCCTTGTCCCGCTCCATGCTGACAAAGTTGCCCATTTCATCAAAGTGCATCGCCGAGAGTTGACCTCGTTTGTAAAGCTTTGGCGTGATCTTGCCACGGATCTCCATGATGGCCTTGAGCATCTGATTGTTGCTGTCGCCTGCGAAGAGGATTTTGCCCGTGTACAGCTCGTACAAGGTGGCACCGATGGACCACATGTCGATGGAGTAGTCGTAAGGCATTCCGAGAATGATCTCTGGTGCTCTGTAAAAGCGACTGACCAGGTACGGGGTGATCTCGTTGTGCGCCGTAGCTGCGTCAGACTTGTCGATGCCGGTTCCCAAGTCACAGATTTTGAGCACATTTCTGCTCTCGTTGACCTACGGTCGGTTAGTTGAGTTCTTTGTCCAACAGCCAACATTGGCAGTACTTACCAAGATATTGTCAGGCTTCAAATCTGCGTGGATGATACTGCATTTGCGCATGTGAGCAAGGCCAATGAAGATTTGATGGGCGTATGCTCGCGTAGCGCCCAAGTTGATACCGACATTGTTGCCGAATTTCTTGAGCACTTCGCGCAGGTTCAGACTCAGGTTCTCAAACGCCATGCACAAGTGGCCCTTGTGGTCGAAATGCCGTTCAAACTTGACAATGTGCTTGCGATTCTCTGGATCGGCGTCATTGAGCTTTTGCAGGATGGCAATCTCGGTGAAACCTCCCTTCCTCAGCGCATCATTGTTTCTCATAATCTTGACAGCGACCAGCTTCTTGTTCGTAATGTCGACGGCACGCGCAACGCCAGAAAACATACCCTTGCCCAGAGCCGACTGGACCTGATAACGGCCGTTCAGGATCTCGCCAATGCGAAGCTTGTAATAACCGTCCTTGTCGTCGCCCTCGAGAATGGCTCCGTTTGTCGGCGCAAGAGCGGGTGAGGCCTTGGACTCGTCCACCACAGCTACCTTAACAGGGTTAGGCGCGGCGTACTTTTCGTCATCAAAGTCTTCAGCAAACATGTCGAAATCGTCATCGTCGTCGTCTTCTGAAGACTTTTTCGCGGGGGCTTCCTGAGGTTGATCCTGTGGCTGCGTCTCGTTCTTTGTGTCAGGAGCTTCGCCATGAACACCCACGTTGCCGTGTCGCATTTCATCGCGCCTCTCGTCCTCCTTCATGTCGGCCGTGGGATCGTAATCTGCAGCTGAGGGGCCGTCCTCTTCCGTTGCGTCGCCACCGCCATGAGTGTTCATAAGGTCACTCTCATTCACAATGTCAATAGCGCCAGGCGAACTTCCGTCTCGGGCTGGTGAGGCAATGTCTGCAAACTTAGCACTTGTCAAACTCTGGAGGACAAGATCCTTACCTGTGCCTGGGGTACCAATCTCCGCCGTTGGAGTGCTTTCCCGAGCTGGTGATGGAATCGCCGACTTGTCAGTCGCATGCAATGCGTGAATAAGCAGTGGAGTAGCTGAACTAGACTTTGCGAGTAGCTCATCACGGCGTCGTCGCCTGCGTTCGATCTCGGCCTCCTCATCAATGACCATCGGCTCCTCGGGCTCATCGTAGCTATGATCAGGTTCCACCACCTGCGGAGCGCTATCGTCGGGCGTTAGCAGGAACCGAGTCCTCTTGGAGGGAGGAGGGGAGACGGACGCCTGGCCCCGAGAGCGAGAAGCTGCAGAAGTTTCACGGTCTGCAGAGTCTTTCACAGGTTTAGCATCTTGTCTGGAAACGCGCGAATCCATTCCTACAGCGACCCCGTTCGGCGCCGCGCCTCCGTTCCGGGCGTTTCGGTCCCTGTTGTCATCGTACTTTAAGCCGCGGAACGAATCGGTGAGACGATCGCGCCCGCCGTCTCTGGCGTAGTGATCCTCGCGACCTCCTCGCTCACCGCGCGGGGGCCGGTAGGGCGACCTGGTACGGTTACGCTGTCTCTTATCCGGGTATCGGTCCCTCTCGCGATCGCGCTCCCTGTCCCTGTCTCTGTATGCGTCTCTCTCGCGGCTGCGGTTCCTGTCGCGACCGTCGTAGCTGGTGTTCGAGCCGCGGGACGGCGGGCGGTCTAGGTCTTCGTACGACACGCGTGAGCGGCGGTAGTCATCCCTTGCGCCGTCTTCGTAATGCACGCGGAAGCGGCGGGTTTCCTGTCGTCCTCCACCAGCGTAGTCACGCTCGTCGCGGGCGCGCTTAAAGCCGCGGGGCGGCGGGGGGGAGCGGCTGCGTCTCGAAAAGTGGTGGTTCTTTCTGGCGGAACTGTCGTACTCGGGGGAGTTGGAGGCCGAGCGTCTATCTCGAGTTCTGTCTTGACGGTCAACACCGTTTCCTTCAAACTTCTTCGGCAGTGAAGTTGCCTTCAAATCCACGGCGTCATTCTCCATGATCTCGCCCTCGTCGGAACTCGACGCCATGTTTGCAATGCGATGCGACAGCAAGTGCGGTGCTCTTGAGCTCTAGTCTCGAAAGTGTGCCAACAAGCACGTTCCTTGAGTATGGTATGTTTTTTGTAGCAGTGATCCGCCAGAGGAAGGAATCCCCTAGGTCTTTTTGCGCGCAAGCAGCAGCGACGTGTCAGCAGAGATCACCAGAAGATTGATGTGCGGCAGGAATTGTTTGCGAACCGGATGACTGTGTCGACTCAGCTCATGGGGAGAAAGAAGGAAGCAAAGGCGACACTAGAAAACCAGAGGGCAATTCAAAGAGGGGGGGAAAGGAGGATCAAGTGTCGTAATGCAATGCCAAGGAAGAGCAGTGTTGTTTGTGTCGAGACGACTCGGTGCCTTCCAGCGATCAAGGGTCGACAGGTGGTGATTTTTGGTGGTGACGAGACACTGGCGCCGCGCCGGAGAAATCAATGTGGCACGGAACACAGCCGACCACACCGACGTCGAGCTTGGAATGTTCCGTGGGTGTCCCGGCTCCACCACGCTGGGTCATTTGCATATGATGTATAACTACATATTACTCTCGAAAAGGAATAAGCCACAAGATATCTCTATAGACGGGGACCCTTGACCGATTCGTCGAGGAGGGGCAATTTTCACCCCACGTCCGCCCGCCTCGCTGCGCCGCGCTTCCTCTTCTCCTTTTGACTTTACGACTGTGCAGCATTTGCGACTCCAGATTCTGCCTCTCCGCCTGACTGTCCACCGCTCTTCCTCGCCCAAAGCCGATCTCCAACCCAGTTTCTTCCTCGATAACCTCGCAAAAATGGGTGGTGCAAGCCGTGAAGGTAAGCAATCTGCCATGCCGTCGCATAGGATGGGGCAACCCAGCCTTTTCCGACTCAGTTCACGCGTTGCTGACAATGGTTTTCTCACAACAACAGGTGGCAAGGCCAAGCCTCTCAAGGCCGCGAAGAAGGCCGCGAAGGACTTGGACGAGGACGACCTCGCTTTCATGGAGAAGAAGCGCGCCGGTAGGTCTCACACATAAACTGACGGGGCAGATTCTGCATTTCCTCTTCCGTCTTCAAGTTTCTTTGCAGATGGAGACTGATGTACGATCATAGAGGAGAAGGCTCGCAAGGAGATGGCCGCCAAGGCCGGCGGAAAGGGACCTCTCAACACCGGTACCCAGGGCATCAAGAAGAGCGGCAAGAAATAAATCGACTGCTGGATGGGCGGGATTGCGAAATAACCAGAAGTCGACGACCGCGCGCGCACACAACAAGAACGGTGCCCGATTTACCAAAGGCCGGGACCACGGAGGAGCGCTTTTTCTTTTACATACCTACAACAAGCATGCAATGAAATGATATCAAAAGAGTTCTCGATTCTTGGCGAAACCGCCATGGATGATGCCGGCTACCTTCACTGTTGTTCGTCATGCTCTGAGGTCTTTTGAAGTGTCAGACTGCAATTGTGTTGACTCGAGACTCGAAAATCGGACTCAGGATCTTCGTTCTTGCAATTGCAGTGCAACACCCAAAAACTGGAACAGGCGGGGGGCTTTAAACAGTGGAAATGCGCCCGCGGGTATTCGTCGTACTTTGCTACTCGTAGCAAAGATTTGCGCTCGAGAGTCACCTCCCACAGAACCCACCGGCCCTCTCTTCTCCATCCAGTGCCCGTTTCACAGTCGATGCTCACGTCTGACTGTCCTGCAGCACATGCTGACCTTGAACTTTTGAGGCACATTTACCTTATGTAAGGCAAACGTCCAAATGTCTCACCTGATGCCCGCTCTCTTCCCGGCGGATGGTCCAATCTGACCGACGGGCCGACCGTTCAGCACATTCTTTGCCCGGCTCCAGCTGGCGGCACTTGTGATGACAACGGCCTCGGATCCGTTCGGTGCGGACCGAGAGAAAAACACATGATTTGGCGCCCATCTGCTATTGCTGCTAAGGAAAATCTTCAAGCATGTGGAAATGCAGATGCCAGCAAAAAAAGAGGAAATCCCAACAATTCCCATCCCAATTAAAATCAGGGCCCTCCCTTTTACGTAGTTACCCCTGGCCTGACCCGCCGCCGCACACCCGGCGCTAGACGTCAATCCGTCATCGCAGCAGCTGCAGTACCTTACCTCATGTGCCTTTGTTGAACGTGCGCGCCCGTGATATCTCAACGGTCTTTAAATGCTTAAGAAAGTCCAACACCACATGCTATAGTAGACATCCTTTTCTCTCTTGTTTTGCGACGCATATAGACAGAAACAATACCTAAAAATACCACCAACCTAAACAATAAACCACCAAGATGACAGCCCTAGAAACAGCCGACGACGCACCCGGCCTCAGAAACCGCCGCCGCTCCTCCTCCCATGACACCACAACCCTCCTCTCAACAGTAGAATCCTCCGCAGCCGCCCTCGAACGCAAAGTCGAAAACGCCCTCCTCGTCCTCTGGGACGACCTACCCGCCTGGCGCCGCGACAACCAATTCATCATCACGGGCTACCGCCCCGACTCCAACTCGTACCGCGCCTCCTTCCGCTCTTTGGGCTACCTGCACAACGAGTCCGTCAACATCTGGTCCCACCTCCTCGGCGCCGTCGCCTTCGTGATTACCGGCGCCGTCCTGTACGCCGTCATCGCGCCGCGCTACGAGTCGGCGAGCGATGCCGACATGATTGTCTTTGGGTGCTTCTTTGCCGGCGCCGTCGCGTGTCTAGGCATGAGTGCGACGTACCACGCCATGAGCAACCATTCGCCCGAGGTCGCCAAGTGGGGGAATAAGCTGGATTACTCGGGGATTGTGTTTCTTATCGTGGGCAGTTATGTGCCGGCCATGTATTACGGCTTTTATTGCCATCCTGCGTTGCTCAAGTTTTACCTCACAACGGTACGTCTCACTCACTCATCTCTCACTCATCTCTCACTCATCTCCCACTCACTTCTCATGATATAACCCCCCCTCAAACACCAAATCTCACTAACACAACCTCCCAAGATCTGCCTCCTAGGCCTAGGCTGCGGCGCAGTCTCCTGGATCGAATTCTTCCGCGCCCCGGAATGGCGCACCTTCCGCGCCTGCATGTTCACCGCCCTCGGCACCTCGGGCGTCGTCCCCGTCCTCCACGGCCTGACAATCTACGGCCGCCAGGAGATGGAGGACCGCATGAGCCTGAGCTGGGTCGTCCTGCACGGCCTCATGTACATCTTTGGCGCTTTTCTGTACGCCTTCCGCTGGCCGGAGCGCTCGTTCCCGCGCACGTTTGACATCTGGGGCAGCTCACACCAGATTTTTCACTTTTTCGTGGTGATGGCCGCCGTGACGCATTTGTATGGCATGGCTAAGGCTTTTGATTATCATCATACTGTTACGGGGGGCAAGTGTTTCTGATCAGAGGGTTTTATAGGTGTTGGTAGATGGTGTAATGAGGTTCATGAGTTTCGGATACATGATGTTTTCCGCTTGATAGAAGGTTGATAATAGAGGGTATCATTCATACTTTTGCCTATTTCGCCTATGTTACTCTATGTTTGGGAGGTGTCTCTCTCTAGCATTCCAATCCCAAATCAATGACCCTCACCAGGCCAGACGCCATCGCAATAGCCGCCCAGCATGAGTACTCCATGTTCGGATTCCACGCCATTGTCGTAATCCGTGTCAACGGCTCCGAAATAACGGCCCTCTCGGGATCAGCAAAGTGCCCATCAACCTCCTCCTGACCGCCTTGTACATCGGCATCGTCCTCTTCTCCAGCCTCCGCCGCCGCCGCTGCAGCGCCCTTCTTTCCCTTTGCCTTCCCCTTAGCCTTCCCCTTGGCCTTGCCCTTCTTATCCTTCTTCTTGTTGATCGCAACCTTGGTCTTCCACGTGTCCACCTTAGGATTCACATTCGGCACCGGCCGGAACCCCTGCAATATTCTCGATGCGCCGCGGCATCGGTCCGTTGTACTCCCGCCCTCGTGCCCGTTCAACACCTCCGCGTCGAGCCTCTCGCACGGGATGTGCTGGTGGTCGAGAACCTTCATCTTGTGCCCGAAATGATGCTTCGAAGCAAAGATGCGATTCGACGGGTTCGCAGCCCACACTGTTCCGTCGGTATACCCCACCAACACAAACGGATGCTGCGCGCCAACAGCAAGACACGTCGGCAGCCGATCCCCGTCCATGACTTTCCGCACCTGCGCGGCATACCACCGCGCGTGGACGAACCCGACAGAGGCGTTGAGCGGGTTCGCGGACGGCACGGCGGTGAAGAAGCCGCGTAGGTGGTCGCTCCATTGCATGAGGTTCGGCTGCGGCGTGATGGCGAAGCAGGGGAAGCTGGTCCGCTCGCACGAGGGGTCGGAGAGGTCGACGAGGGTGGTGTAGCCTGCGATCGGGGTCGATGCGACGAGGTATGGGTCCGAGGGGTACGCTGTATCGAGGTGCATTACGTACGTCGTGTGGACGTCGTGGCGGGCGAGGCAGATGCGCGGGGAGATGGACCAGAGGGTTAGGGAGCCGTCTGAGTGGCCGAGGACGATGCGATTTGTGTTGACCCAGGCGAAGCAGCTTGCTGTCACGTTGGTTTCTGAGGAGACGCCGAGGGATACGACCGAGTTTTCGAGTTTTGCTGCGCGTTTCGTTAGTGCAATGAATGCAAGAGGTAGAGGCGCACATGTTCTTACTGAATGCGTCCTCTTCTCGGTTACCAATCTCCTTGACCGAGACGACGTGAACCTGCCCGTCGCCACAAAGTAGTGCAAGTAGGCCCAAAGAGCCGTCCTCCCTGTAAGGAACCGGGCACCACTTGAGCCGCTTCACCCTACCCCAGTCTACGCACAGCGTCCTGGCAAGGCGCGCAGGGCGTGCGGCAGGTCTTGACACGCCGTCGCTGTCCTTCTGCCCGCGAAGCTCCCACAACTGCACGATGCCCTTTTTCTCATTATAAGCATCCTCGAGACCCATTTGGTGGTCCGTAGGCGGGACCACGGCGAGGGAGAGAATCTGCGATTCCCCCTCTGTTCTCGGGGCCCAGTCCATTCCGATAACCATGCCACCGACATCAAACATCCACCCAGAAGACTTCTCGTCGTCGCCGGTGTCTTTCGTCAAGACTTGTCCCATCTCGCCAAGAACGACACTATCGTACGGCGGAATCTCGACTTCTTGCTGGTTCTGATAAGGCCCGATCACGGTGACCAAGTGGCCGCCTGGGTTCAACCGATACCCTTCCGCCTCTATCGCCCCCATCTCCCTTTCGGCTTCGGCCACCCCCTTGGTGCCCTTTAGCCTCTCAAACCAGCTCTTCGCAGCGCGTTGCTGGTCTTCATTGAAACCCTCCCCAAGCCACGGACTCGGCACCGGATGCGCAGGCCCATCGGGCAATTTACTTGGCAGGACTGCATACCCAGCCCACCGATTCAGCAACCAACTGGCAACGCCAACAGCCTCTGCCTCAGGCCCGTAAAAGAAGTCCAGCACCTGGATCCGCTGGCCGCGCTTCAGCTCGCCGGTGTAGTAGCGCGTAGGCCGGCCGTCGGCGTGGTACGTGTCAAGGGCGGTCATATCCGTCGGGCGTTTCTTGATCCCGGCGGAGCTGGTGTAGGCGGGCCGCTCCTCGTCACTGTCGTTGCCTCTTCTGCGTGAACCGTCATCAATGGCTAGGTTGGATGGATCTTCTGCCTCGAAATCATCGTCGCCCCCGTCGACGTCCATTCGGTCGTCCTCATCATCGTCTTCCGGGTCCGGCGGCGGCGCCTCGAAATTTTCGTCTTCTGGGTCATCGTGGGTTTCTCCTGGCGGCTCGCCGTCCGAGCCGTAGTCTATGATGGCCACGCGCTTGGTCTTGTTGCGGGGCCTTGTGCGCACCATGACGACGGAACGAGTTTGGTGTTTCCTTTCGGGAGTGAAGTGGTTCAAGGTGAGGTGGAATGAGACGTGAAGTGAAAAAAGAAAGTGAACCAAAGAAAGGTACGAGTCTCGGAAGCCGGCGCACTGTGTTTAATGCGGAGCCGATTTCTGCAGCGGGACTTGCGGCAGGGACGGGGCGGAGAGACCCGCCAAAAACCTTGGGTCTCAGCGTCTCCGCCATGAAAAACACAGTGCCAACTGTCATCTGCTCGCCTCACCTCACCACTTAACTCATCATCACATCTGGTGATTTGCCCAATCTTTTTCATTTATCGAGTTATCCTCGGGCTATACGGACTGTTCATGAGGCGTACATAATGACAGAAATCAAGGCGATTATTGAGATACTGGCCTTCAACAAGTATTGGTGTCGTCTTTCTAGCCCAGAGTTGCCGAAACTCGATAGCAACATTGATGCAGTTCTTGACACCAGCAAGTCCTCCTACAGGGTGATCTCATCTATAGAGTTGTGATAACGTTTGAGAAACCCAAAGCGCACTGAAACTGTTCCTTTGAACGCTCAAGTGTAGAATTATCGTAAGTATACCAAATGATTTACGGCTCGGATTCACTCCAGCCATTACACGTGGTGTCCTCAAATGATGATGTGACTCGTCAATGTTTGTTCTGGGATAGGTTGAGGCGAACAAATGGGCACTGGTACCAGACTAGAACCTAGGAATACCCATGTATGCAATCAATTTCTCATATCAGGTTCCTGATCCTTCGAAGAGTCCTACAATCCTTCATGACAGGGATTCACGGCGACGTAGCTCCGCCACATTCGTACGGGGCCCGTTCTTGTTCACTCAAGAGTGCTCGGCAACCTCACTCCAGCCAAAACTCCCAAACTCATGATATCCCCTTACTGAATTATCTCTTCAGACCAGCGCATCGTCCGTCAACGCAGTGCTGGAGCCAAAAGTGGGAGTGAGATGAGTTCAGACATCACCTTGGCCACTGAGGATGAAACAGCCTTCGAATCGACGAGAACAACTCCGGCACCAACAGGCGACCTCATCCTCGTCGTCGGCCCATCTAGATATGAAATTCGCGTCTACGCTCTCATTCTCTCCAATGCCTCTCCTATATTTGCCTCAAAGATACCGAAAGCAAGCTACAGCGAGGATGCCGTGGTGTCAGATCCCCCTCGCTTTTCCCTCCCAGACGACGATCCCAAGGCCATGGAAATCATATGCCACACAATTCATGGCAACAGCCTGAATGCAGAGATGGGAAGAATCCCACCGAAGTTGATCCTGAATGTTGCCGTTATCGCGGCAAAATACGACTGTACACTCGCCCTTACGGCGGCAGCCGAGTACTGGCTCTCGCCTGAGATCATGGACACCATCGCGCAGTCTGGAGTTGTACACCCAGAGAAGAAGGATCTCCTTCTGGCGGCGTACTGGTTCAGGCACGGAAGAGCATTCGAGACGGGGTCACTGCGATTGATCACCGAAATATCGTGGAGTTTCAGCTCCCTGGCGGATGGAAAATCGGGAGAGTATGAACTCGTCGCACTGAGGATTGCTAGTGAGCTCTTCTTCACCCCTATCCTCACCTCAGATCTCGTACATGGCATTCAGGAGAAATCGTTTAACATGGAAAGCAAATAGTCGCACTGGAGCAGAAACGCAACGAAATTCGTCTATCCCTCTACACGCGAATGATGAAGCAGATTCACGCAATACCCTACTGCCAATGTAACACCCGCAAGCCAGCTCCCTGGTGGAGGCGGCTCCTCGACCGTCACGAGAATACAAATCGGGTCGAGACTGCCGCCACATCTTCAGTCCTTCGCAACGTCGACATAGATATCCTATCGAGGGGCACGCCGTACATGTCCATTAGCTCGATGACGAGACTAGCCGATGAGAAGATGTCAAAGACGTTGGAATGGAACCGCGTCGGACAATGGCACGTATCGGGCCCACCCCTGGGGCACCACAAGACGTTGATGAAGTGCACCGTGAGCCAATTCAGAAAGAGCGGGATAATGAGGGGTCTTTGCTTGGCTTGTCTGCATCCGCAAATGGCGTGCGAGGACAGCGCAGCACATTGGGAGGAGAACGACAGGAGACGAGGGTTTTGAGAGTGGCTTCAGGAGATGCGTTGACAATGCAATAATTTGAGACCGGACAAGCTGCACCTATTTCCAAAATAGGGCATGGTTGGGCGGGTTTGCATCGGGCTTCGGAGCTCCATGCATACGGACAGGGCACGATACGATGCGGGAGAGGTTGGAGCCAGATGCAAGGCGAAGTGAGGCGGGCAGAGGTTTTATGGCTGACAATCTCTGCCAACAAGTGCCGACGTCGAAGCTATCGCCTTGTCCGCCTCAAGCTGAACTCCGACAATACTCAAATCGAAAATGACCTTGCCCTGTGCCAATATCTCGCTTAGAATGCCCGCTCATTCGTCCACACTATATGTGGGAGCTCAATAGATAGTTTGTTACCGGCAGTCGATCAAACACCCGAGATATTAACTTGCAGTGGTACTTTTCAACCGGACTGACGTGCCCATGCAGGGAATATATGATGGCTGCAGTAATCAGTCAATATTGTCTACTGCGTAACGTCAACCTCAAATGGGAGTCATGTCGCAGCATCAATAGCCGCTGCATGAATTCTGCTGCTCGATGCTATGCGCCTCCCAGAGTAGAACCTAGCGAAGGGTGTAAAGGCTCTGCCATAGAATTTTACATATGTCTTGGGCTCTGACGATCTCGGGGACTCGACACTTCTTTTAATCAGCCAGGTCTCAGCCTGAGCCCGGGCCCATGTTATAACCATCTCCTTGGAAATCGATTCTACGTTCATCTGCCGAGCTTTCAGACCAAGCTCATGATTTTCCTATATTTCTATCAACATTGACTGCCAAGATGTTCGAACCCAACCCTTATACCGAGGCTTATGGCCCAGAATCTCACGATGCAGCTCATTCGACCGTCGATGAGTCCGATGACAATCCACCAGTCAGTAAACCAACTGAATACCAATCCTCGGATTCCAGGAGCAAACCAGGGGATGCAACTGATCAACTGAACGCGCCCTTGAGGCAGCTACTTTCGACAATGGCGAGTCATCCACCTCTTGTAGTCGAGGCCGACCTCAAAAAACTGCGCGAGATGATCAAAACGAATCAATTGCAAGTCAACATCCAAGATGACGACACGAAGATAGCACCGCTTCACATTGCGGCTGGATTTGGTCTCGTTGATGCCGTTGAAGAGCTGCTCAAGGCTGGCGCCAAGCTTGAGATTCAAGATTGCGAAGGCCGGACGCCTTTGATGACTGCCACGGAGAACGAGCAAGTAGAAATCATGGAACAATTTCTCACGGCTCAATCTGAGTATGACGGCGTCAAGTCTCAACTAGAGATAACAGACAACCTGGGGCGGACTCCTCTCTTGTCGGCCAGCATAAATAGCTTCCCCGAAGGTGTGAGACTATTGATCGATGCCGGTGCAGACTGCAACGCTCGAACTCTTGAGTCCAAATCAACGCCCCTGATCGCAGCTAGCAGCTGGGGCTACCGGAATGTTGTCGAGATGCTTCTCGACACCAGGAACCCCCATGGTCGCGCAGATGTCAACCTCCAAGATACTGAGGGATGTACTGCTTTACATGCAGCAATAATTAAAGAGCAGAACGAGATTGCCGAGTTACTCCTGTACGCGGAGGCGGATTTCGAAAGAAAGAATAAGAATGGACAGAATGCCTTGCATCTAGCAAGTAAAAGAGGCGACACGACTATCATCGGCCGGCTCATGCAACTGGGAGCTGCTGTAGATGAAATGGATAATAATTACGAAACACCGTTTAAGGTTACCATCAACTCTCTGCAACAGCTCCAAACTAAGTTGTCATTGGGTCAAAATGGTTCGGTTGGCTTGTCGGCGGAAGAAGCAAGCAGGGCAGAGCTGCAACGTGTCCAGCAAATTGATACGATACAGCTTCTAGTCGCGCATGGAGCTTTACCCCAAACCCGAACCTACGAAAACGAGACAGTGCTGCATCTTGCCCTAAAATGTGGCGAGCCCCTCTTTCTAAGAAAGATGTTAGAGAAGATGGATCTGGACGATCTGTTGACTCGAAATAAAGACGGCCAGACCCCACTATCCTCTGCTCTCCAACTTCAGGGCGAATGGAGGGAAATTGCGATCGGGATTTTTCTCGCATCGGACCAAGTGATGAAGGTTGTCGATAGTGACGAAGAATATCTATGGCGCAATGTTCTTGACTGGGCCGCGGACAATCAAATGTCACACCACTTTGTGCGCCTGGTCTTACAGCACAAGACTAGAATGGACACAACACTGCCATCTGAAAGTAGAGACTGGAGCGCAATCAGATGGGCAGCACACCATCAGCTTCCGGTACTACTACGACGGCTGGTTGTCAGCTCGCCTGGGGCTAATGAAGTTGAGAAGGCGCTGAAATCAGTCCTGGAATCGACCTCGAAACTGATAATGGACCCAAGCAGCAAGAAATTCATCGGCCAACTTCCTCTTGTGATCTGGCTTCTCATTACTGCTTCCAAGGGAAATGACGACCTGAAAAGAAGCGTGGGGGCAGTCTTAAGAACAATAGAAACCCGAACAACCACGCAGAAATCACGAAAGAAGGTCCCTAGAGATATTCAAAAAGCAAAGACAAACACACACCTCCACCAAGACCGAGTTGATGGCAAGGAAAAAGGAAATATGATCGTCTCAGAGCAGCAATCCGGCTCTCACGAGAAACCTTTCGACTTTGAGCAGTTAGAGACGCTGAAAATAATCCTCCGTGACCCCCCTTTCTCGCGGACACGTATTCATGAAGAGAAGGCTTCGTATCACACCTCAACACGGCTCAAGACCGAGAATTCATATCAAGACACCCTGAACAATTTTGACGCCAACATCGTGCAGTTCTTTGGGGCCAGCGGCATATCTAAAACATTTCAAGCTACGAGAAAAGTTCACGATGTCATTTACAGGACTGGCCCTGCACGGATCATGCAGGCAGAGACAGCAATACAAAACGCTGTCCACTATCGTGATGAATATTTCCACAACGTTGACTCAGACTTCACGTGGGTATATTTACCAGTGACCAACGTGAGTTTCGCTTTCGTAAAAGCTCAACTGATTCTTACTGATTGAAAAATACAATAGATGAGCTGGATGAACGTAAGTATAACGCTCAGAGATAATTTCTTGTATTCTCATGATAAGTCAGTATCTTAAGAGAAGAATAAAGCTGAATGACCTCACAGGACCTGCTGATGAGGATTTGCGATGATTCATTATATCTTGATACAAGCCAGTACTATGACATCAGGTCTTTTTTTGAAGACAGCTGGAGTGAAACACCGGACAGAACATCTAGGTCGAGGACGATGAGACCTCGAACTGTAATGAGACCGCGACCGAAACTGAGAGAGCTTAGAAAATCGTCATCCACCAATTTAGACGAGAACGAACCTGATTTTCTAGATGCGTCGGCGATTTATGTAAGAGACCAAGATTCACAGTGGTAAATCATGCTGAGATGTGGCGACAGATGCCCTATCTCTGCTTTTCGGTCAATCTAGATGGGAACCAAGATCTTTCCCCAGAAGGAGGAACAAAGAATGCGAGTTTACCACCAGACCAGTCGACTGGATCAATTGTTCACGAATCACCGACCCTTGACGAGTGGTATTACCATTTTGCAATGGACCGAAAGTCGAATGCAGAGAGACTTTATCGGAACAAGAGCCAGATCACCACCAGGTTCTTAGGAGAAAACCAGCTCCTGAGGCAAAACGAACACAACGAGGGAGAGTCCGCGAGTTCTTGCCCCTCGAGTGAGTTGGCTCTCATACGTGTCAATCAAAAATGGATTTGGACCATTGGCAATAGTGAGTTAAAGGGCTTATAGCTCTCTACGTACTTTCACTGAAAAAGACCCCTTCAGGATGGCTCATCACCGCAAATTCTTGCTCGCTTGGCGAGAACGATGGCGGGCTAGTACAAGAAATTCTTGATCAGGTTGGCAAGCAAACAGATCACGGAGGTCGCAAGCTTCAACCAAGATCAGTAGCGGGAATGAGCCAAATGATCATCGACCATTGCATCGGCTCCTATGAGAGACTTTCTGAGCTGCCAAGGCCATCAAAGACACCTTCTAAAGAGGCTGATCCGTCTGAGAATCAAATACCTATGGTTGGACGAGAATTGTCCATCAGACAAATCTACTCTCATTATTTAACCTGGATTGTACTGTGCAGCCCTTTATTAGAATGTTTTTACCAGTCTGGCATTACTAACGATGTGATAGGAGAGAAATGAAACATCACTATTTCAAGCCGTTCAGAAGCAGCGATTCAACCGCCTGCGCGATCTGATACAACGAAAGCCTAATGCCTCTGACACACAGTCGGAAATTGCTCGCAAGGCCTCGCCTCAGACCTCATACGAAAGCGATTTTGCTATCCTAGAGGCATATAGCCTGTACAGCAAAATCAAGGATGTCCGCGACGAATTGAACATTCTCAAATCAGTTGCGTACTACCAAAAACTTGTTCAATTGCAGCTGCACTTGACTGAGAGAGGCGGAGAGCGTTCTGCGGCCCATGTGTTACAGAATATTCGCGAGTTGAATTTTGTTGCGGATAGGATCCAATCGGCGGTAAGTTCAACACCAGGCCTAAGTAACTGAGACGCTACATTGCTCCCCAATTATTGACCGTGGATGAGTGAAAAGGTCAACATGACGCTTTCACTTCAACAAAGCGAAATGGCCAACGAGAACACTATCATAGTGAATTCCCAAGCGAAGCTGGCTGGAAGGCAAGCAAGTGTCCTTTTTGTGTTTACTTTTGCCACTATTGTTTTTGTAAGTCCCACTTCACAAGAAGGATGGCTTCCGTACACCGACTAGCTTGTCAAGCTTCCACTATCTTTCCTCTCGTCTCTCTTTGCCCTAGATGTCTCTAGCTTTCTCCAAACGCCTGTATGGGCTTTTGCCGTGATATGTAAGTCAGTTCGTCTTGATATAGCTTCTTGCACGTGCACTCGATAACTCACAAATCATAAAATCCAGTTTTGGTTTCTGCAGTAGTTTCTGCAATCGTAGGATTCGGTGCCTTCTATCTTGCCAATTACATAGACCCCCGAGTAGAGAGAAAAAGGACAACAGAGACCCTACCTAAGACCTAGCCTAAGTCTGGGTCCACTTCTCGGTATGAGTCGGGACATGAGCCTCACTCTCAACGTGAGATTCAGCTTGGAGCCCGGCGTGGGGGCCGCCGTAAGCCTTGGGGACATCTTTCGGATCAGAACAGCATGTGTTGATGGGAGACAGTGATTTGGCCCCTAGGTTATGTTGGCCACCTGCGACCTTCGACCTCTCTGGCTGGGGCCGTCGCCTGAGCCGATTCGCTTATAATTTCGTAGTAGTAGACATTTTCTTTAGAGTTACAGGTAAATTGGGCTAATCATGCCGAATGAGCGTGGAGAACTCCCTTTTCTACATCTGATAGTGTCAGGATCATCCGCCAACGCTGGCTGCATTGTTGGTGGCGGCACATGCAACATATCCTCACACAGTCATTCTAGACATCCGGAACGGACTGGCCTTCAGTATCAAAGGGAGAAAAGCGACCTTTACTTATTCGTGTTAGTTAGTTTGTCAAGCTTCCTCCATCTTTACTCCTGTCTTTCTTCGCCCTAGATATCTCTACAATGCCCCCAAGGCCTAAACAGGCTATTGTGCCACTATGCGAGTCTCTTGCTCATAGTTGGCCCTTTGATGAATTCAATTACTAAGACGTAAGAACACAGCTGTAGTAAGCATTAAGATTTCTATAGCAGTGGGGGTAGTTAGTCTCTACGCAGAGGATATCAGGATAAATGTCGTCGTAATGTGGATAAAGTAGGAATCAAAGTCCAGCTTAAACTACGGCGTGAGGCTCGGCATAAGGCCCGATGTGAAGCTCAGCGTGAGGCTCAGCTCCAGGCCCAGTGTATGCCCAAGAGTCGTCTTCAGGATGAGAATATCATGTACTAATTATAAGTAATTGTCTTTTAGAACCTCTGTGATAGACAAAGGTCCCGTATGCTTGATGATCGCCTTCAATCTCTCTGGCCTGCGCCCATCTTCAAAGGCAATTTCGCCCACAATCCCTTGGTACTAGGTGTTACTATGGCAATCCATACATTGGATTAATGGACTGCACGAATTCAGATTATAGCGCGACCTCCGAGTTATTGTACTATTCATATGTGACTGTGTGCGATTTCCGTCATCACACTAGTGGACGCTCTCGAGAATGCGTACACTAGCAAAGCTATCTTGACGAGGCAGCAAGCCTGGTCCCCTGGAAGGCGCACGGTATCAATGCTGAGAGAGTAGCCTAGTCGCAAGGCTTTTGTAGGATTGTTGAATGGTCTCATGGCGTAGGTACCTATCAACACCCATCTGGAGCGCGGCACGCGTGGCATGCGCGGGTGCAAAGGTAAGCCGGGAAGATCGGCCCACGAAGCTCGGTATCGGATCAAATCCTTACTCACTTTCAAGAGATCGCGAGGTGCCAAGCTGTTTTAAGAAGGAGAACAAGAATCCTGATTATTGTAATCTATCTAGAGTTCGACCTAGCGATCTGATGTCGGCCTGTTCGGATGGATATGCTACCTTTGCGAAGCCTAAACCCACCTATAAGATCCTTAGTATATAAAACCTCACTGAGCATTTTTATCAGATACGTGTATGGTAAACTATTGTCAATGTCGAAGTCCTTAACTTTTACCCACTCGCTTGCGCATCATGCCCTGCATTCGACATCTCGGACTCATCTTTGCAGGCTTCACCGCTGCACTTGTCCCATTACCTGCAGGTGGGAACCCTCGTAATAGCTATGTCATTGAATATGGCACGACGGAGAGCGTGCGGTACCTTGGCTGTGGGACATTCCATGACTGAAGGCGCTAACATATGGCAATAGTCTGAAGGTATGCCATTGACCATCGAGAATGGACTTCGAGGATACGGTTTCCACTGCTCCATCAGTAGTTTCCGCGAGTACAACTCGAACATTCTTCACGGAGCCTCTTTCTCATTGGAATGCGGCGAAGGAGTGGTCCAACTCCACCAACCATCCCTAAATACTATCGCTCTTGTCACTGATGCCCAGAATATATGGCGCCTTCCCTCCCAAGGGGGTTTAGTCGAAGACCAAAGAACGTTGAAGCAACAGCAACTCTCACCTGGTCAGCGAAAGTCTCTGGAGAAAAACGATGTTGAGCGCAGAAGCGCTGTGCTAGCCAACCTCGAAAGTACCAGTATCGCCTCGAAGTCCGCGCTGCTCCGGGCTTCGCATGAGGACACTGGCGTCTTGCGCTTACACGAAGAGAATATAACTGGCGCAAACGTCCGCGTTGCCATCATGGACGCTGCGATTGACGTGACTGCACCCGGCCTGACCGAGACGAACATCGCGTACACTACCAACTTGCGGACCGGCGCCAATAATTCAGCCGGGAGCTGCGACCCGCACGGCACCGGGAATCTCGGCATAGCCGGTGGGAAGGGCGACCCGCTATGGGGCTATACCGGTGTCGCACCGGATGCTATCTTTGAAGCCATCGCTAACTCTGACTGCGTCAACCCCATTAACGGGGACGACCAGGTGAATGACTTCCTTCACATGTACGAGAGGCATCTGGACATCATTTCCATTCCTTACAGCTACGAGTTGGAATACCCTGAAGGTAAGTGGTGCTTGTTCTGTGTTGTTCGGCAACTTTTGCCTACGGATCGACCGCGTTCACTTGCTGACTCTGGGGCTAGCCCCTTGGCCCGCTCTGATAGAGCGTATGTTCAATAACGGTACTCTCGTAACTACTGTTGCCGGCAACACCGGTCCAGGGTTATATTCGATCAGAGCCCCCACGGCCAGTCGTGGCGGCATGGCTATCGGTACCTACGACACTTCCCTCGTCCCGGTCTACACATGGCAAGGAAATTGGACAGCAGGCGGCGAGACTGGCCTAGTGTTTTATCACCCGAGTGACCCCACCGATACGCAAATGTTCGACCTGCCCGCCCAGATCAACTTGACATTGTGGTGGCCTGGCGCTGTCGACCCTGCAGCTCTTGAGGGACCCCAAGATATTGTGTCTCCTTGCCGACCTCTTCCAGCCGGCGCAAAGCCGCCCTCAGATCCGGCAACAACGATACTTCTCCAGTCTAGATACGAATGTTGGAGCGACCCCGATGACGCGTCTTTGGATATCACCGCCAAGTACGGAATACCCTATGTCATGGGTTACGCCCCCAACTACGCCGTTCACGCACTCAGCATCCCCCGCATGGGTAGCACAAACCTGACCCCTTCCGTACGCGCAGCAGTCAACATCCGTTTCGACGAAGCCTCAAGACTCACATCGCTACTCGCAAAACACGGCCGCGTCGATCTCTCCCTGACGGGCGATCCATCTTCAGCCAATATGAACCTCAGCTTCATCCCGAACAACCAGACGGGTCTCACGCCGTCGTCCTGGACAACATGGGGGCCGGCTTTGGATACACACATGGGCGTCGCCGTTCTCGGACCGTCGCAGTACGTCGCCATGCCGTTTCCTGCACGTCTCGGCGGCCTCGGCGTATGGGCCGGAACCAGCTTCTCAACCCCGTACCTGGGTGGCGTCGCTGCCCTCGTGAAGTCTGCTCATCCCGAGTGGTCGCCGCGCCAGATCCGCAATGCCATCGTGGCCACTGCACATCCTGTTGATTATAACGACGGTATTCCGAACTTCAAGGTTCATGCTATCAAAGCCCCGGTTCAGCAGCAAGGCGGTGGAAGGGTCGATGCCTGGAGTGCTGTGCGGAGCGTCACGACGGTCAACGTGACGGATCTTGCTTTCAATGACACCGACCACAGGCCACCGTTCCTAAGTTTCACCCTCGCCAACACGGGTATCGAGGAGCTCTCATATCAACTGGATCATCTACCAGCGGGGTCAGGTTACGTGATCGATCCTGCAAACCCTTACAACTTCTCCTTGCCGAATATTAGCGATGCCTACGCCAGCCTGTCAATTTCTCCCACATCTCTGACGTTGAAGGGCGGTGAATTTGCGCCTGTGGCGATATCGATCCTCTCTGAACCTGACTTGTCTGATGCCGCAGCTCGACTGTCTTTTTTCGGCGGTTACGTATCAGTCCAGTCATCAGCTTCTGAGGCGAATCTTCTGACTGTGCCTTACACTGGTTATGGAGGATCCCTGCTCAACTTACCCATCATTGATCGGACGCAGACCAAATTGATTGGAGTCAGGCTGTCGGGTTTCGCGTTCATCGATGTTGAGCCCGGAAGGATATTCAATGCCACATACAACGCCAGCGTCGGCATCAACGAGAACCCCATCACCTATCTTGACGATATATATCCCGGATTCGCCTTCCAGCAAGTTGTGAGGAGCAGGCTAGTGACGTATTCCATGGTGAATACCAAGACTGGCGAAGCGCCATTCCACAACGACACCGTCGGAACAGACGCGGAGCCAATGACTGCGGCTTGGTTCTGGGGCGGCTCCGAGAACAACAGGACATTTGTGCCGGCTGGAACATATGTCTGGGAGGTACTCGCGCTACGGATGAACGGTGACCGTGAAAACCCAACACATTTTGAATTCTGGAGGTCAGACGAATGGAGCTTGGCTTACAGTCTGAACAGTACTGGCTTGCCTTCGGTGTGATGCCTCTATCGGGCAACGGTTATACGAGCAGAGCCTCGTGGACCGACTTCTTCTCTTGACAGCAGCCTTGACTTGGAACCTTTGCTCCTTTATTCCATCTACAATATTAGAGAGGTCGAGCTCCGAGGTAAGAATGCGTATGTGGTTCTTGAGAGCCGTCTGGAGCGGGAAGACTGACGGCCGAGTGGGCTTGAAGGGACGGAGGCGAGACTGAAGTCGGCGTGGAGCTCACAGCCGCAAGGTCTCGGCATATGTAAAAGCCAAAAATGACAAAGGCCGCTTTGCTATGAACAACAGGCATCATAGTCTTCCTCAAGACAATATGCTCTCACGAACCTGACCTCGGGCATACTAAAAAGCGCCTCCCTTACGAACCCATCTTCAACATCCAGCGCGGTCGCCTTTGCAACCTGTAACTTCATCTCTGAGGCTCCCATGTCACTCGTAACTCTCACTCCGTCTTCCTCCTGATAGATCTTCTCCCCACCATCGACACTATTTGCCGGTATACCTGCCATAATAGCCCAAGCCATAACCCACCCCCTCGCAACCTCACTCGCCCACGTCCCACTCAACCTCCTCATCCACTTCTCGTCCCTCACAGCCCTACCAACCCTCTCCGTCCCGCTCCTCGCCCAGAGCTCCAGATCAAACTCCAAAAACACCGGGTTCCGCCATCCGGAGCCCAGCACGCTCTTCACACGCGCAATCTCATCCGCGTCCTCCAGATCCGTGACAACGATCGTAGTCTCAACCTCGCCTCTGCCGCTACCGCCGCCGCCGCCAAACATACGTCTCACGGCATCACGGCCATGCGTACTACACCGCACACCCAACGCATCAAACTTCAAACTCACGCGCTTCACCAGCGCCGCGCGTTCGAAGAGGCGGGCATACCACTCCGCCTCAGCGCGACCAACGAGTACATACCTCGCCCTCTGTACGAGTTCTCCAACGCCCCGCGGTTGGTCACCCTCGACGTCAACCCAGCTATCCAACTCCAGCACATCGCGATCCCCATCAAACCAATAACACCGCGTCCTCCCCCCCTTGCTTATCTCACCCCCCTCGTACGTGAGTCTCGCTAGCGCACCATGCTTCGTCGCCACGGCCCGCGACTCACGACACGCTCCGGCGATGGCGGGCGGTCGTAACAGCGGCGGTGGGGATACTGACTTATGTGACTTCGTCTTCTTCCCGTCCCGTGCGTCTAGACGCAGAACCCGTGAGGGAATGGCGACGAGGGACCAGACCCGGAGTCGTAGTTCGGGAGGCAGCTGGCGGAATTGCGGAAAGGTTGGGTGTTGAGGCGGCTGCGTATTGTGGTGGGAGAGCATCGTCTCCATTGTGGCTAGGCGCGCTTCTAATGCCGTCTGAGATTCTGCGATTCTCTCTAGCAGGTGAAGAGTTCGCTCCTGAAAGGTTCTGGATTCCATATTGTTTGAAATGAACTGTGAAATCGAAAATGGGTCTCTTGTTGTGTGAGACAAACTCTACCTGTTCAGCTGTCGACTTCACAGTTGATTAACAAAGTAGGATACGCGTGGCTCGTGAGAACTTCCACCGGCGACGTCTCTAATAAGAACATTACAGGTCATAGCCTCAAAACTTCACCGCCCGAGGCCGGAAACTGCGGGAAGTCCATCCTTTTTACACCACCTCAACCATCTGAACATCCGAACACAATTAGAACCGTATTCGCATCACTCCCCGCCTCAAAAAGTCTTGGCTTTTCCTTCCAGCGGCCGACCTGCACTTCGTCTGGTGTTGACTGTGCGGTTTGTCAGTCTGCAAAAGCATGCAAGTCTCGTAGGTAAGCATCTTGGTAAGCGTTGTAAGCAAGTCCGGTCCCCGACTGTGCATGCCAGTGCGGAGACTTGGTTCATTGAACCGACAGGGGTGTAATCGGCTAGGATGGCTCCAATTGGGCAAGTCCGTTTTCGGGGACCACACGGACGGGAATGAGGCTTGCACAGTAATACATGACAATCCTATGCTAAGGCACCTTATGCTCCGTAGGCTCATTGGCTCGGAGGATCATCATGAAGCTCTGCTTTTTATTTTGTGTGTGGTTTTACAACTTAAAGTCGGCATTGTTCTTCTCCCAGCCCCTTGGAGTCTCCTCTAGATCGGCCACCTTATCAACGAGCCTCACCTTGAGGTTCCGGTTCCGCTCCGTGCACAGTTCGTAGGTTGTGCTGAGGTTGAACAAGAGAGTGTGCGATGAGTAGCCGGATCCGACCATGTCCTCAAAAATGGCTCGTGCCTGATGTACGCCTGGTTGTCAGCCGTCTTTGTCATACTTGAGTTTTCACGAAATGTGTGTCATGAAATGAGTCCACAAGTAACAACACGAGAACGAGGGAAAAGACCCGAGAAGGAAAAGCACGTTCTGCCACTCACCTCTGTCAACTTGCCAGTGTAAAGAAGACACACCGCCATGTTGACACCAACCATCTCATCCGCAACTTCCTCCCTCAGCCCTCTCCAGGTCGCAAGCGCCGCCTCGTACTCCCCATCAGCCATCTGACAAAGCGCGCCCACAACCGTCTCAGCATGCTTTCCCTCCTCTCCAGAATCATCCCCTCGCATGACGCAGCGCCTCGCCGCGTCCGCATCCCCCAAGTGAAGCCAAAGCAGAGCCCTCGAAAGTGCCATCTTGCCGTCCCCGCGGTCCTTGAGCGTAGCCAAGTGCTGCGCCGCGCCAGCGGGGTCATCCATCTCCACCAGCGCGCCCGCGACAGCAACGCCCAAATCCTGTAGCCGCGCCTTCCAGAGTTCCCTCGCCGAGTTATCGTGCCGCGCCGTCGCCTTGCTGATCTGCTCGCGCGCCTCCCGCGCCAGGTCGTGGTAGCTCATGACGGACCTGCGCGGGTCGCTGAATCCGAGAGCCTGTAGCCGTACGTTGAGCACGCGCAGCTCCCAGGGCACCAAGTGCTCGCCCGTGGTCTCGTCAATGTAGACGCCTGCGTTCAAATCTTCCAGTGCCCTCACCTCCTGCGCCGCCACCGCCGTCGCGTCGATGAGTGTCAGGCACGCCAGCCGCGTGTACAGCAGGCTAAAGATCCTCTGGTGGTCCGACGGTGAGACCCGCGGCCGGTCCGGGCTGCCCGTGGCCGTGAGCTCCTGGACCGCGGCGATGGCAGCGGCGCGGAAGTGGCCCTTTGCCAGCAGGTCTTCGAGCGGAGCATCGGCTGGCGGCTGTTTGGACGAGTTCCTGAATGCGACCGGGACGTTGACCGGTTGGACGGTGTGGTAGATCTCGGGCCGCAGGAGGAAGCCAAAGTCCTTTGTGACAGTCGTCTTCACGGGAGGTGCTGCGGGTGAGTGAGGCAGCGCTGGCGAGCGTTGTCCTGATATCGGGCGTTGCTGCGTCGTGTCTTCTGTGGCGGCGGCTTTTGGCGACAACGGGTCATTTAGAGGAGTGCTTAACGCCTGTTAGAGGAGACGAACATGGCGAGGTGCGAAGTGAAACTCACTCGTCTAGGTCGAGCGGACCCTTAGTCGAGGACCGTGGACGAACAGCTATACGAAACGTATTAGTGAAGATTCGGTGACACTCCGTCCCTCATTCTCAGTCTCATTCATGAGCTATGGGCCATAGCTTCTGCCAGGGCCAGAGTGATGATATACACCTAGAGTGAGAAGAAAGCGGGCTCTAGAGTTGGAGGAAGTTTTAACATGGTGGTTGATGAGCTCTTACGCCTAGTCACTGATATGTTTCGTCCGTGCCCGCGATTTATTGGAGGTTGAGACATCGTATTGAAGGTTGAAGGGGGTCTCAAAAGTGTTGTTGAAGAGAACATACAGCAGCACTTTGGACCTGGATGAAGCTCAGCAGGTGTCGAAGCTAGTTGGTCTGTGCTGCGGTCGCTGAGAAGCTGGGCCTGGAGAACCCCCCTTTATGCGATTAAGGGGCACAGGTAGCCAGGAAGCAAGAACATGGCTATCTCTAATCAAGTACTTCATATGCACAACATTCTTCGTTGCAGTATTTCACCAATAATCTCACAAATCTCACATCTCATATCTGACAGCTTATGGTGGCAAAGGACTTCTATTAGCCGGCAGTGATATCTAAACCGAAAAGGCAGAGCTTTTGACCATTCCCAATATCTCAAGTTTCCATCAGATATTCGTTCTCTAACCCTTGGCAGCACCGGCCTTGATGAGCAAGATGTCTCCGTCTTCCACAACGTAGTCCTTGCCCTTCGTCATAACCTTGCCCTTGGCCTTGACCTCGGCTTCAGTGCCGAGCTCCTTGAGCGTGGTGAAGTTGTAGACGAGGACTTGAATAAAGGTCTTTTCAAAGTCAGTGTGAATGACACCGGCAGCCTGGGGCGCCTTGGTGCCGTTGCGGAGAGTCCACTGGCGGACTTCGTCCGTACCGGTGGTGAAGAAGCTGCCAAGGTTGAGGACCTTGCGCATCTGAAGAACGATCTTGGGCAGAGCGGACTCGGCACCAACGTTCTTCTGCTCCTCCTTGGACTCGGCCTCAGTCTCGTAGCGTGTCAGACGCTCCTCGAAAGAGACGGAGATGGGGATGATGGGGTCGCCTTGGGCGTGCTCCTTGACCCACTCGGCAACCTTGGGAAGGTACTTGTTCTTCTTGCGAATGAAGTCCTTCTCCGAGAGGTTGACCAAGTAGACGACGGGCTTGGCGGTAAGGAGGAACAAGGGGTTGATAACCTCGATCTGTTGGTTTTGTCAGAAACAGTTCCTTCTCATAGTGTTTTGCGATGAAATTGTATGAGGGGAGTTGTGTCAAATCAGAATGGGTTTTTTGTCTCAATATGCCATAGCATTCGAAGAGCTGGGTTTATAGTTCGGATCTTAGATCCTTTGTCATCATGTGACGATAGGCGTGAGATGAGGAAAAGAAATGCAGTTGTCAGTCTTACCTCCTTAGGGCCCCAGGTACCCTTGCGGACTTCATTGCCGTCCTTCAAGTGCTGAAGGATCTTCTCAATGGTAGCCTGCTCCTCCATGGCCTTCTTGTGCTCAAGGCCCTTGCCACCAGAGCGAGTCTTCTTCTTCTGGTTCTCGAGGGCCTTCTCGGTGAACTCGATATCCTTCAACCGCAGCTCGTCGCTGATGATGTCGAGATCACGGGTAGGGTTGACGTCACCCTCGACGTGGATAATCTCGGCATCGTCGAAGCAACGAACGACCTGGAAGATGGCATCGACGGCGCGAATGTGCGACAAGAAGGCGTTACCGAGACCGGCACCAGTGGAGGCACCTCTCGTCAGACCAGCGATATCGTACACCGTAAGGTTGGCAGGCACGCGCGACTTTGGGTTGTACTTTTCGCAAAGCCAATCATAGCGCTCATCGGGTACAATGACACGTGCCTCCTCAGGGTCGATGGTGGCGTAGGGGAAGTTGGCCGGGTTTCCCAGGTTGCACTTGGTAATGGCCTGGAAGAGGGTGGACTTTCCAACGTTTGCAAGGCCAACCTGAAGAGAAGAGAAGGGGGGTCAGCCTGATCCCGGACAGGTTCTAAGGCCAAGGCGGAAAGCGAAGGCTCAAGGCGCAGCACCCACAATTCCACTCTTCAGGTTGTTACCGGGCCTGCCCAGGAGGATCTTCTCCTCGACGACTTGCTTCTTGGGAGGCATTGTGCGTCTTGATTTTGCGTAGTGACGTGTGGTGGTGTAGAGTAGAGTGCAGTGAAGCACTTGAGCTTGGCGAAAGGCAGAGCTAGCTGCGCGGGGTAGCAAAGAGGGAGATTTAGAAGTGAAGGAAGAAGGGAGGAGGATGAAGGACGTCGTTTTGGCGACTCTTGGCTGTGTGACCAGCCCTCAATCACGCGGATTTGCCCGACGACTCAGAGAGCAGAGCGGTAGAGAGAGAAGAGAGTAGAAAGAGGAAGAGAAACCTCGGAGATTGTTTGATCGAGAAGAAAAAGCTTTCGCGACAGAGGTGTTGTGGCCGGCCTTGTTAGATGAATTTTAATGTGCCCCACCAAAAACGGGGCCCAGGTACCTGAAGGGGGTCAACTTCCCTCCCGGCGTTTCTATTCCGCCGTCGCGCCGCTACCACCTAAATCTGGAAGGCGCTGACAGCACCACCGAACAGTGGAAGCAAGGCAGGAACGATCCCAGCAACCACGCAACCAAGCTGGGAAGCTCGAAGCCCGAAGGAAGCTGGAGGAAAGCGCGGGGCTGGGAGCCACCTCTGACCTCATTCCTTGCATCCCATTGGATCGCAATTGGCCCAACCCGCTTGCAGTGAAGAGTACTTGTCCTTCCCGCATACTACCACCCAATTTCTATGGCACAACTCCAGCTGTCCATGTACTTGACCTTACGTTGCCTTGAAGCTCCCGTCAACCAGCAACCTCCAGGCTCCTTGAGGTTGTTCAATGCAGCACTTTGCCTTTCTGCTGACGCCCGCTTTCTCAGCGCCGAGCACCGCCCGAGCCAAGCCTAAGGAACCTGAGCTACGAGACCTGCCTTGAGGTTCTTTGCCGGGTGCATTGCGTTTGTTTCTGTCTCCTTCTCGTCGCGGGTTCCTTCAAACGTTTCTGTTCATTCTGCAGCCAGCCTACTTCATTGTATTTGCGTCCTTCATTCACTGAAACATCCCCCATATCTTGTTCCCTAAAAAGTATTCCTTAAGCGCATTTATTCCCCCAGACCGGCCCTCTTCCCCGTTTCGTGCCTCGTCTCATCTTCTCCAACAACGCCGCGCCCCTCCCACCCGACTCGCAGCTGCCCAGGCTCTCACGGCGTAACCTGGAATACGCCAAAAAAGCAGCAGCACCCGCAACCTACAAAAACACCTCACCCGACAAATTGCAGAAAAACATGCCTCCACGATCGAGCAATCCTAGGCAGTCTACCGCGTCGCATAGGTCGACATTGTCATTATCCAAAACCGAGGTCACAATCCATGTCTATGATCTGCTACCTGTAAGTTGCTCGGACCCACCGAACCGACAGCTTGGTTCCGTCACCGCCAGCCCAGCTAACAAAGTGACTGCAGCCAGGACGCCTATCCTCTGTTCTTTGGACATTTGGTGCTTCACTACTGCACTCGGGTGTCGTGATCAATGGCAGAGAGTATGCCTACGGCGGGCACGAGCGACGAGGTGTGACGGGAGTATACTGGACAAAGCCAAAGACGGAACCCCCCGGCGGCACTTTCAAGTCCGAGATCCTCCACGGCTTTACCTTTGCAACCCAGGCTGAGATCGACGCGATTCTGGAAGAAGCCTCGAGGGACTTCCTCGGAACCTCCTACAACCTCTTGACGAAGAATTGCAACCACTTCACTTCCTATCTCTGCAGAAAGCTTACCGGCCGTCCCGGTCCCGGCTGGCTGAACCGTGCGGCAAGCATCGGCGTCGCATTACCCTGCGTTGTCCCTAGGGACTGGATCGACCCACCCGAGTACGATACCGCCGACGGCGCACTTCTGGAAGAGGAGGAGGAGGATGATCGTGCTCACGAAGGCTCTAGGATGCTGAAGCAATCGCCGCCGAGATTCCTCACCGAGAACTCCAAGGGCCAAACAGAGGACGCCGATTGGGATAGCGAGGAGGAACGACGCCGCGGCGGCAACGGCAAGGGCAAAAAGGCCGTACGGGATACTGCGGGTCGCGACCTACCTGCTGCCGAAAGGGCTCCGGTTCGAAAGTAGAGCTCCTCGTCGTCAATGCTCTACAACTAGGTATACGGCATGTTTGGCGTTACAAAGGTCTGGCGTTTGGGTTTAGTGGGCGTACAGCACTTGATACCAGCGGGGTTGGATATCTGCATTTTCGATATGAAACCATCAGAATGCAAGGAAATTTTGCTCTTGTGATATGATACAGTTGTACATGTATTGTACAGGCGTTGTTGTGTTGCTCTTCCCCTGCGAACCCCAGACAGCGTACCTCCTCTCTCTAGACACGTCTCGGGTTCTTGCTCCTCGTTCCACCAAACTTCAATCTCGTCGAATCTGCCACCCGAATGACCTTGCTTCTCCAAAGCTTACCCTCGGGGGCCATGAGAACCTTGACTGCCGCGTCACGTCCAACACCGAACCCTCTGAGCACGATCTCGAGCTTGTTGATCTTCTTGTGCCACCCGGCGTAGTTCAACCTCTCGAGGACGTATGCTGTCAATTGGTAGGCGGCGTCGTATCCTTTCCTCTTGGACTTCTTGAAGCCGATGTTGCCGGTCGACAGGGAGATGATGGCGCCACGGTCGGGCTTCGTGACCGTCACGTGCGTGTTGTGCTTGTGGGAGTAGATGTGCATGTGGTACGGCTCCAAGAGGTCCTCCTGTTCGGGGACAAGGTCGTCGAGGCCTGAGCCGCTTGAGGCGAGACCGCCATCTAGCGACTTACCGGCAGCCTTGTTCAGGGTTTGGAGAAGCATTGTCTGGTTGTGGCTGGGCGAGCTAGTTCCCTGTGTCGGAGCCGGTGTTGAGGTTGTAGAGCGGGAGCCGTACATGGCAGCCAGAAGCTCCTGGCCTCCTTTCTTCGCATCGTCGGCGCGCTGAATCGGGGTCTGGGAGAAGGGTCGGAGGAAAGCCGGGGAGCATCGTGCTATCGGGGATGGACGGGCGGCAGTCTGGAAGATGGATCTCGCCAAGAGGCGAGTCGTCGGTGCGGAGCTCATCGCGGGAGTTGTGTCAGGCTTCCTGTCGCAATGAGGAGAGAGAGGGCGGCCTGTTCGTGACGACGATGGCCCAGCTGCAATGAAGATTTCAGAAATTTGGCAAAGCTCCCGTTCAAACGTCTGGAGACATTGCCGGTATCTGATTGGTTCCTGAGTGGCGCGCCGGGTCGTCTTCGGTTGAACAGGGGCCCAGATTTTTTCCGCGCTCCGCTGTCAACCGAGATCGCTCGCCCAGCACTGCAGCGCCAGAGCTTCTGGAACCCCCGTCGGAACCTGTCGCGAGCCAAAATTTCTTTGCAACTTTACTCGCCCCCAATCGTCATCCGCATCCCCTTTCCGCCCCTCTCCTCCCTCTCTTGTCCCTAATATCCTCCTTTGCGTTTATCGTCGAGAGGCGGTTGGCTTGGATTATACTACACACGCACACACAGTATGAACTCTCTCGTGCAATCGGCGAGGAGAAATCCTCAGAATGCGCTCGTGAGAGCTTCCGCGCGGGCGGCGGTCCAAAACCACAGCAGGACACCAGCCTTCAGCCGCTTACTTTCCACACACATCAGTGGCAACGCTGTGCTGGCCTCATCACGACACACCTTTGCACGACCCACCTCATTGCGATCACAGTTCCTCCCTGAAGATGTCCGCAGCATCTCGAGCTCGATGCAATCCAGGTCTTTCCACCTGACGGCCAGACAGCTCCAGCAGCAGACCGAGAAGCCCAAGGCAACCGAGGACGGTGCAAAGCCTGCCGAGGATACCGCGAAGCCCACCGAGGAAGCCAAGGCCAAGGACGCCGAGTCTGAGGCCAAGGAAGAGTCATCCGAGAAGAAGGAGGGCGAGAAGGCCGAGGGAGAAGAGGGTAAGGAAGGCGAGGAGAAGCAAAAGGAGAAGAAGGAGGACATGCCGCCTCCCCCGCCCCACGGTGACAAGACGCCGTGGGAGGTCTTCAGAGAGACGCTTACGGCCGAGTTCGGCAAGTCCAAGGAGTGGAACGAATCGACCAAGGCACTGTCTGGCGAGATCCAGGACTTTGCTGAGAGCGAGAGAGTCCGCAAAGCCCGCGAGGCCTACGAGAAGTCTTCTGGCGCCATCTCCTCTGCTGCGACGAGCGCCGTCAAGACCACCGCTGGCGCTATCGGAAAGGGTGCCGCCTGGACCTGGGATACCACCGCCATGAAGGGCGTCCGCAAGGTCGCCAACGTGACGGGAGACGCGCTCGACAAGGCGACGAAGCCCATCCGCGAAACCGAGGCCTACAAGAACGTCAAGGATGTCATCGATGACGGCAGCAGCTCGCGCTACGGTGGCTGGGTTGAGAAGGAGGAGCGTAGGAAGAAGCGCGAGGCTGAGGCCCTCAAGCACGGCAAGCCCGAGATCTTTGAGGAAGACCCCAAGTAAGTTCTGGAGAAGACAGATTTCCTGCAGATGTGGGACTCTCAACTGACTGTGATGAAGCGCCGGCACCAACGTCACGATCCACAAGGACGCCGCCTGGAAGGAGGCGTGGAACGAGTTCAAGGACTCAAACAAGTTCGCCCAGGGCTTCTTCAGCGCCGGCAAGGTCTACCGCGAATCCGAAAACCCCCTCATCGAGACCGCGCGACTCGTCACGGATAAGATTGGAGGATGGTTTGCCGAGAACGAGACGGCCCAAGTTATCAAGAAGTTCCGCACAATGGACCCCAGCTTCCGAACGGAACCCTTCTTGAAGGAGCTCCGCGAGTACATCCTGCCCGAGGTCCTCGACGCCTACGTCAAGGGCGACATCGAGACGCTCAAGCTCTGGCTCTCCGAGGCCCAGTACTCCGTGTACGAGGCCCTGACGAAGCAGTACCTCACCGCCGGCCTCAAGTCGGACGGCAAGATTCTCGATATCCGCCACGTCGACATTGTCCGCGCGCGTATGCTAGACCCCGGTGAAATCCCCGTCTTCGTCATCACCTGCAGGACACAGGAGGTGCACGTCTACCGCAACGCAAAGTCTGGCGAGCTCGCGGCGGGCATGGAGGATAAGGTGCAGCTGGTGACGTACGCCATTGGTATCACCCGTGTACCAGAGGATGTCAGCAACCCTGAGACGAGAGGATGGCGTCTTATTGAGATGCAGAAGAGCGGAAAGGACTACTACTAAACCACAAGCACCACCAACAACACCAACACTACTATCATAACCCACCACTCCCGACTTTTCAAGGGGACGGTACTTCTCATAAGCGAGGAAGATGTTTGGATGATGAACAACAACATACAAAAAAGCCCCCGTCTCGCAAAAATCTTCAGCCGAAAAAAGTGTTTTACTACTTGTACAAAATAGAATCCGGGGGGCATATGGGACTGGCGAACATTGGGCGCGACGTTGCCACAATGGGATGTGTGGCCGAAGGGGGAAGAAAGACAAAAAACCAACACCGCTCTTGAAGGCTGTATGTGTACGTGTAGAAGGAAAAAATGTGTCTTTCATGTAGACGAGGCGATTACCCATACTTCGCGATGTAATACCAACCGAGAACTGAGAATGTCCTCACCCCATCATTACTGTCCCCATCAAGCCGTGTCATTTGCCGTCTTGGCGGGTTCTACGTCTTCTTCTCGCCTTTTTGACTTCTTGACAGTCCCTTCCTCTACAGCTTGACTCCCTTCATCCTCTTCAGACCTCCGTCTCCTCTTCGCTTTAGCCTCGACAACTTTCCTCTTCCTCCCCTTCCTCTCCCCCTCCACCTCTTCTTCCTCCCTCAACACCGTCCTGACCTCCATTAAAATCTTACCCAGCAAATTCAGCCCCCACCTGCCTCGATCCGAACCCGGTGCCTTATCCGGCGAGAACCCGATCCCCCAGATCCGATCCATCGGACTCGCCTCCACCAGCTCCCTATCCCCCGTTGCCAGCAACTTCTTCCGCAACTCTGGCGCGGACCGAAACTTCAGTAGATTGCCCTCACGGACGATACGCTCTCTGTTCTCGTTCCACAGCGCTTCGTTGAAGTTGTGCACTTTGCGGCCGAGGGCTTTGACTTTGCGCGGGTGGTCTGCTTTGAGGATGGACAGGGCGACGGCGGGGTCGGTGAAGAGGAGGGCTTTGGCGTGCATCATGTAGTGTTCTGCTGTTTTGAATGTTATGGGCGTGGAGGAGGAGGAGGATGAGGGTGAAGATGGAGAGGGGGATTGGGTGAAGGGGTCGGAGGTCCACCATTGGGAGAGGTAGCCTTCATGCCCGGCTTCACGCCAAAAGTAGATTGGTGACGTGTCCATGGTGATTACAGATGTGGTCTTCAAAACGATTCTTTGGATTTGAGGTTTGAGTGCCTTGTGTAGTAAAAGGTAGTTTTGCATGGCTTATATGTGTTGGTTGATGTTGAAGTGAGGCTGACTTTGAAGGCAACTGTCTGCCTAACTGCGTGTTAGTGCCGCCGCCGGATGACTCAACCGAGCGTGAGCGTGAACGCCAAAACATGAAGTGAGTTTAGAAACACAAAACATCTCAAACAGCATTATACTCAATTGTGAATAGTGAACATAATAATGAAGAAGTAGATCGTTTTTCTCATGGAACTCAAAATCCACGCCTCATTTGGGCCCCTACCACGAGACAAGATAGTGAAGCCACATAGTCTTGTAAGCCGTCTCACTCAATCCGACTTATAAAGAATCCCATCAACCTGCTCATGCCGCCTCACAGCATCCTCAAAACTAGGCAAACTCTCACCCCCCGCAAAAGCCTCATAAACAGCCCCAACACACCTCGCCGGCACAGGCAAGTCAGCCTGCCACCCCTCCTCCCACGCCCACGGCACACTCTCCACCTCGCCGCTCTCAAAGTCGTGGACCTCAATCTTGACCCCGTCCACGTCCGCAAAGGCCTGCAGCGCGACGCTGTTCTGCGACGTGAGCCGGATCTCGCCCTTTTCGCCGTTGACGGTCCACGAGAGCTGCGGCTCGCCGGCGAAGGGCTGGCCCCGTCGGAACCGCGCGAGGAACGTGGCGCCTTGGGAGGAGACGAGGTTTGAGGGTGGGAGGGTAGCCATTGCGACGAGGAGATCGGGGACGTTGCTCGAGACCGTCTCGATGATTTGCTTCGTCGACGGGTCGCGGATCTTGACGTCGGGGCGTTGGATTTGCGTGTGCGAATGCTGGATTGTTGCCTCGCCCAGGACATGCTGGATCTGGTCAAACACTGAACGCTCACGTTAGCAATTGGTAAGATTTCATGGTAAGGGCGCAGAACTCACAGTGACCAAAACCGATGGTGACCACATTCCCTCCAACCTCGCGCTGGGTGAAGTACTTCAATCCAGCCGGCAAAACATTCCGGTCCAGCGAACCACCCGCCGCCCTCACCTCGCTACTCAACACCTTCCCAATCCTCCCCTCCTCCAAAATCTCCTTCACCTTCAACAGCGGCGGCGCAAACCGTCCCTGGACGCCAACCATCGTCCTCGCCCCGCTCCTCCGCGCAGCCTCCGCCAGCTCGCCCGCGCGCTTCGCGTCCTGCGCGAGAGGCCACTCCACATACACGCTCTTGCCCGCCTCGACGCTGGACAGAGCCGTGTCGTAGTGCTGATCGACGCGCGTCGAGACGACGACGAGGTCCACGTCCGGGTCCGCGGCAAGGTCGGCGGGGCTGCCGTAGGCTTTGGTGGAGGAGGGGAGGTTGTAGGCTTTCACTGCGCGCTGGGCGGCTTCGACGCTCGAGTTGCAGAGGGCTGTGATTGTGTACTTTGCCCGGCCGCGCGGGGAGAGGAGGTAGGGGAGGTGGGCGCTCGAGGCCCAGGCTGTTGTTGCGGTTGAGGAGAGGCCGATGATGCCGATTCTGATGGGAGCCATTGTGAGGGTTTGCCTGATGGTGCTGGTGGTGATTACGGTTGGATGAAAACTTGTCGATTGAGGCCTTGTAGCGAGATTAGATGGCTCGGGCTGTGAGTTTATAGTGAACTGACGGTATGGAGGTGAGGTGGGTGAGACTGAAGATGATGTGATGGCCGATTTGTAAGCTGGCGCATCGCGGTGTAAGTCGATTGGAAGAGGGGTTGCAGCCACCTTGGTAATCAACCTCTCCCTCGCTTTGATCTCGAAATCTTAATGAAACCAACGTTGATCTACACTAAGTGAGCTTAAGGTCTCCGCGGAGAGAAATCTATCGTCCATGATTTGTCACGCTTGGAGGGACCCGAGCGGATGTGAATCTAAGTCAACAGATTTGCAACTCGTTTCTGCGAGTCTCTGGGAGTATGTCTATCCTGATTGGATGATGCATTAAGTTTCGCGGTCGAATCTCTTCATAATGAACAGAGTAAATGGCATGAAATGTGCCAGAATAAATCCGTCAATCCCGATTTCCTCATTACTAATATCAACTATCCAAGCTCATGTTTCCACAGAGTTGACTGCAATGAGGCCGGCAACGTCATAACCAACACTCAATAACACCGGAAATACTATCACCGTATAACTTCCTGCCTTAGCTCCCAACACCATTCTTATACAGTCCGCATGACACCTCAATCGTAATAAGAAACCAATACGTCAATAACACAATCAAACCAAACACACAAACATCGTAGCCACCAAAACAAACATACCAAGCCTCACGGTCGTAACACCAGACCCTGCGCTTCCGCTTTTAGCAACGTGCAAGTAGAAAGGATACCCAGATGTCCCATTCGTCCCGTTTGTCCCCATCGTCATGTTCCTCTTGTTCGTTTCACGACTACGACAGGACATGAACCTAGACAGCGCCGTGTCCTCGTCGGCATAGGTCGCGGGAAGCTCGCACCACTTGTAGCAGCCCTCGGCGAGTTGAAGGGGATTCGGGCCGCAGCAGGCCGCCATGGACGCGTCCGATGTGTTGTAGCCTGGCGTCACGACATATGTGAGGTTTTCTGGGATAGGGAAATGGGTGGGTTGTGTTATGAGGTAGGGATCTGGACATGTTGCGGTGGCCATTGCGGCAGCAGGTCGTTTTGTTTCGAGAGCTTAAGAGTTATGGTTGACGATGATGGCAATGGAGGAGGATTGGGGTTCTAGTTAATGATAACGCTTGGTAATGTCTTTGTTGGTCGGACCCGTTCGTGGGAGAGACGAGCCTTGCAAAGATATCGTGATCTCGTCGTCGGATGTTTTCGTATGAAATTTGAGACCCCAGATCACCTACATCCAAAGGATATTGCGACCAATATAGATGAGATCGGACACTCCAATATTCACCTATCAGTCGCGCTCTCAACGGCCGCTTAATATCAACTTGGCAGACGCCCGACTGCAGTCTTGCCAAGCCCTACGGCGCAGCACAGCTGATTCTAGACCTATGCCCCGACGTCATGCAGCACTTGACGAGATATTTAACCGGTCCCAACGAGCCATCGTCACCAGGGGGTAAGAGCGAAGAATCTGGGGTAGGTTCCTGAGTTTAAGGATAAACGCACAGAGGCGTAAAAGTTCCTGGTTTATTGGCGATTTTTGATGTTGGCGATGGCAGCGCGTACCAGTGACGTCGATGGCCGAGCATGCATCGTGATGCTTGTTTTAACCGCCTTTTCATACAGGCTCGTCTGCACCTTTGAATTAGACAATCCGGTACTACCTTGATCAGCTTGACAGTACCTTTGAGCGCAAAGTTGTTGGTGCTCAAATCGAGTCCCGCCGCGAATATGGTAAGATGTCGCTACTACTACAGCTATTTACTATGCTTTTGACAGCCATCTAAAGCTTCGTGATGACTTCAAACTATGTGATCACTCCCCCCAAAGCATGGTATATTCAGATTCTCCGCGGCGCGTTAGTTGAAACAGAGGCGGCTCAAGATTACCCTTAATCCAAAGGAGAATGCCAATATATCTTCATTCGCCTCGACGCTGCAACCGTGGATGACTGACCGACCATCCACCATTTCACGCATCGCCATCCCCAAACAACCCCTCAAGATCCCTCAAACTCTTCACCGTCACCATCCCGACCTCCCAAGACGTCTCCCCCCTCTCATCAAAAAGCACACTCACAATCCCCTCCCCCAAAGCAGGCTCGACATCCCTCACCACACTATCCCCAACAAACACAATCTCCCCCGCCCCGATCCCAAGATGCCGCAGCACCTCTCCAAACAATCCCTCCGTCTTAGCCACACCGAAGAAATTCGTCGTCGCCAGAAAATCAATATACCCTTCAATCCCCAGCGCCCTCACAGTCCTCTCCTGCGCATCCTGCGGACCCTCGGTAATAACGACAACCTTCTTCCCCATACCCTTCAACTTCTTAAGTAACGCCTCCGCGCCGTCCTTCAACTGAAGCGATTCATTCAAGGTCCGCTCATAAACATCCAACAAACCCTCCAAGAATGCCGCATCATCGCTGGGTAGACCAAACCGATCCAGCACCGAGGAGAAGCGTTCCCGTCGGTACTCAAACGACGTCTTGCCGTCTGAAAACGCGGCCGCCGTCTTGGCGCGGAGAACGTGGCCGTACGCCTCCTTCAACTCCTCAACGGGAGTCCCGTGTTTCCGAGAGATGGCTTCCAGCGTCTTCGTCGTGGCCGCCGAAGAGGCGCGGCGGAATTCGTGGAGTGTGTCGTCGAGGTCGAAGCCGAACCAGGGTTTCTCTACCAAGTTGGCTTTGACTTGTGAGCTAATGCTGGATCCGTCCATTTTTTGAGATTTGTTGGACGACGTTGAAGGCAAATAAGCGCGTGTAGTTGGTTGCGGGTTAGTACGCAAGTTACAAGAAGCCATATTTTCACCGGAGCCATGACGGCTGAACCCCCGGAAACCGGCGGAGCCCGCGATCGGCCCGGAATGCCGTGATTTGACTCAGCCAATTCGTCCCCCACGCATGGCCGAATCACGTATCAAAGTCTATGGGGTGGACCATGTTGATTTGCAAATATCTTTAATTACCAAAGGAGTTCTGTGCCCCAAAGCGTCTTATCCAGCGTGCTGTCCTCCGGCAGCAAGCGCGGCATGTAAAAGACTAGTAGTAATGTACAACAACCGGGAATAATTACCTCCTCTCACAATATCTCGTCGTCTCCAAGGCTCTCGTCCGCGTCACCGATATCATACCCCATTTCTTTCGCGTCCTGAGCCCGCTCGCTGGCCACGCGCGTGGCGTGCCATGCGTCCCACTTGGCCTTGTCGCTGGCTGACTCGACGATTGTCCGCTTCGCAAGTCCCTTCTTGCGAAGACGACGGCGGAGTTGCCGCTTGTCGTAAAAGTCGAGCGTGTTGATATCAATAGTCGTGATATCGGTCCCCGTCACAAAATCCAACGCATCCGCCCAAAGGTCTGATGCCTCCTCGGAGTATTGGTTTGCGAGTTGCCGGCCCAAGCCACCAGTGGCCCACTCGTCGAGCTTCACAGGAAGAGCAACACCCCACGTGGGATCCGTCGGTGACCAGACGCAGGGTGTCGAAGAACATGAGGTTGGTCTACAGTAAGCCTCACACATCGCAGACTCGGCAGCGTACCAAAGCGAGACGAGGAGGAGCACTAGCCCGAGGAACGTAAGGCGGAAGGGGTTGCGACGGTAGAGGCTTGGCACGGGGAGGTGAAGGTACGACACCTCCTTGATGGGAGTCTGGCTCTTGCAGTCTGGGCAATCGCGGGCGTGATCCGGGTTGTGGCGATGATGCGACCCCTTGGCTTGCGGCTGCTTCTCCAACATCTTCCCAAGTGTAGCAGCATCATCATGTTTGCCGCCCTCGGCATGAGACACCTGCCCTTCCAAGCGCTCGATGCCCTGCTTGGCACTACGTATGTTGAAGAGCCCGTCTTTCAATGTCTTGCTCATCCTGTCGTACTGCTCCAGCTCGTGGTTCCGCTGGCTCTTGGTAATGTTCGGCTTGGCTGCGACTTCCTCTTTCTTGACCGCAATGTCATCAAGCATCGACTCAATATCCAGGTCGGGATCGTTCTGGAGCTTCTGCATGTTAAACAGCTCCTCAAAATCGTCCAAAGTGGAGTCTTCAATCTGATGAATGCGTTGAAGTTCCTTGATATCGTCTTTGACTGTTGGCGGCTTGACTGAGTTGGTCAGAGGTTTGCGCGGCCGAGAGGTTGACCTGTTCCGACGTCGCAGGCTAGTAGTGGTGCTCGTTCCGGTCGTCTCCTTCTGATCACTCGTTTCGGAGCCAGACTCGGAGGCCTTGAAGAATGTGCCTGCTCTTGAAGTTGGCCGTGATCCTCTTCTGCTCTGCGGTCTATCGAAAGTCGCATTCGACGAAGGGTCCGGCCTCTTCAATGGGGGTAGGGTATTCTCCTCGATACGCTCAACCTTTAGCGTCGCAGGCGTCTCGACGTAAGCTCCAGTAACCCTAGGTGTAGGGAGAGATAGCGGGTCGACTTTCTTCGGCCTGGGAGTCTCGCCGGCGAGGTCCTTATCCTCATCCTCGGTAGTAGGCTCCGCAGAAGGTGCTCTCGATCCACGCTCAGACTGGTTGTCCGCAGGCGCGAAAAGGTTCCTCTCTTGTTCGATGCGGTCGGTAGGATCACCATCCGACAAGGCCACGCTCTTACGGTTGTCCTTGGCTGAGTCGGTTGACCGCTGACGACGTTCTCGGCGCCTTGCAGCGAAGTCCACGCGAAATTGCGGCCTCCCTACCTCCGGCGCTTTCAGCTCGTCCGTGGAACTGGACTTGGAGTCATCTGTTCCTTTCGTCTCGGCAGAAGCTGGCTCGGATACCTTGATAGTTTCTCTGCGGTTTCGTCGTGGTGGACTTGCCTTCGGTTCGGATTCAGGGGCAGACCGTCTAGCCTCGCTTCTGCGCCGCTGTGTCTCGGCTCTCTGCAAAGTCTCCTTGGATGTTTCTTTCTCGAGCCTTTCCATCTCAAGCTTCAACTTTTCACGCTTCTCCTCCTCCAGCTTCTCTTTCTCAAGTCTTTCCTTTTCGAGCTTTTCTTTTTCGAGCGTCTCCTTTTCGAGTCTCTCTTTCTCGAGCTTCTCCTTCGCGAGCTTCTCCTTCTCGAGCCTGTCCGTCTCGATCTTCTCCCTCTCAAGCCTTTCTCTCTCGGACCTCTCGCTCGCTCGTCTCTCCTTCTCCAATCTCTCTACCTCCTGATTCGCCTTTTCCACCCTTTCCTTCTCGAGGTCTTCGATGCTAGGCCACTTTTTCTCATCTGTAGCTGCGGGCAGGTTATTGGATTCAGGAGCAGGGCTGCTACTTGAAGCTCTGGCGAGCCTCTGCAGCAAGTCTCTTGAGTCCGTTCGCGTATGCGCACCTAGTGGCCTCGCAGACTTGGGACTTGCCCGCTCGTTTCGGTTCGCCGGCGACTCAGACAGTGATTTGTTTCGTTCCCGCATAGGTGAGTTGCGATAGATTGTGACAGGCGTGTTGGCGATATGCTCGCCGTCCTCTATGGGCCACGCTGACTCCCCAGCCGCTTCTCGGACAGGCGTCGACTCTCTCGCAAAGTCCTCGCTTCGCCGAGCTTCCGGCGACATGGACCTTGACATCATTGAGTTCTGTTCCCTAATCTCCTCCAATCGGCTAGTGGCGACGGCCTTCTTAGACAATGACTCGGCTTCTCGGGCTCGTATCTCGTCAAGTTTGGTGTTCTTTGGCGGGACTTGTGTATCGACTTCTTCACGGTCTGATAAATCATCGGGTGTCGGGTAGTAGGAGCGTCGGGGTAGTTTGGCTAGCTGCTCCTCAGCCTCGGCTTCTCTCTCGCGAATCTCCTCCAGCCTTGTATTATTCCTAGCTCTTGGTAGGGCCTTTCGCGACTCGGCAAGCTCTTCCTTGGCTTTCTCTTCCCGTTGACGAATCTCGTCGATCCTAGTATTCGAGCGCCCAGCCCGAGGAGAAACCCCTAGTGATGACTCCCGCCTGAAATTTCCATTCAGTCCCAATAACTGCTGCTCATCGGCATAAGCACTGCCGTATGAGGATCGTCGATCGGAGACTTCGCTAAAGCCAGCGCCATCGGTTCTTATCCGTGGACTGTCTGAAATCTGTAAGTCTCCCGCCGTGAAATCCGCGTCGAGCTGCCACGCGTAACTCTTATCCGGGGATCGGTAATCCGGGTTCGTAGAAGCCGGGCGAGAGGTTGGTGGAGTGGGCTCCTGAGGCAGACGGGAAGTCTCTACAGAGGGCAACGGCGTGTCGGCTGCAATGTCATCGTCTGGTTTCGGCCTGGCGGATCGCTTAATACCCTTCTCATCCTGCTCCAGGAGCTCCTTAATGTGTCCTTCAGGAACATGGCTCTTTGCGAATGCTCCGGGACGCGGGCTGGCGCTCAAACTGCCGTAGCTTGTCCTCCGACCCAAGCCTGAGCCTCCGTTCAAGCTGCCGTTACTTGTCCGCCGGTTGGCACTCTGAGAGCCGTTAAGGCTGCTGTTGCTTGTCCTCCGCGCCAGGGTGTGTCCTGTCTCGGCAATCTTTGGTCCCACTCTGGTCTTCCCAAAGAAATGTTCCTGATCCCGAGACGCGCTCGGCGACTCTGCCATCTCCCGTTCGTATTGACTCAGTCGACGATCGAAGCTTCCAGAGCTAGAGAGACTGTTCGAGCCGGGACTACCGCCGTACCGTCCCACGTAGCTGTCTCGCAACGAGTCACTCGACATCCTCGAAAGGGGTCTGGGCCGGCTATAGTCGACCGCATCTTTTCCAAGGGATCGCCGCGATTTTGACTCGTCCGAGACCTGTCGATTGGTATAGGGGCGTGGGGCAGGGCTCGGTGATGCGTCGATGGCTGCGGGGGTAGCTCGCCGCGCCTTCTCGAGGGTCTGGACACGGTTCTCATCCGCCAGCTTCCAGGCCTCGGCGACGGAGACTCCGGAGCCTTTGGCGAAAATGCCAATTGTGGATTTGGGTCTGGGGATGCGAGAGCCGGGCGACACGATCTCGATGGAGTGGTTCGAATTGAGGGAGGGGGTCTGCGAAAGGGAGCTCGAAGGTCGGGGGATCGCGGCGCGAGAGGGGGGTCGGCCGGTCGCACTGGTTTGGGCGTTTGTTGGCGAGTATCCGAATCGGTTGCTTCCTGCCGTAGCTGGGGAGGGATTCTGAGGCTCGAGGCTTTCTCGGGAGGGTTTGGAGAATAGTGGTTTACGGCCTTCCTCGTCGATAGTTAATTGCGTAGAAGCGCGACGATCCGCTCGAGCGCCGAGGCCGAAGGACGGCGATCGATTGTATTCCATGGCGATTTGGGGTTGTGGCCACGTTCGTAGTTAGTAGTGGCGACAGTAGTGTTGGCGATGGTATGTTGTCAAGCTGCGCGCAGCTGCATTTTCTTGCGATGCGATTTGGCGATTAGTCGCGTCATAACAGTACGAGAACGCAGTAGAAACAGCGACACGAGCTTTTCAAAGCTATGAGGCCGAGATGATCAACCTAGCCGTGTTTATTCGCATTGTCGTCAGGGGAAAGGTGGTCGCGCAATGGGGAAAGACAATATTTTGGGTCGGCGAACGAGCAGGTGGTGAACCGCGTCTTCCTAGGGAAATTGACCGGGGGCCACCCCTGGTGCTTCTTTCCCATTTGGATCAACCCCCCACACTGCCCCTCCTAATCTCGGGGCGGAAAAACAGATAGGAAATGACTAATCGGGAGCTTCCGGTCCCAAATGGTCCAAGCTCCAAGGTTGCGCCGGTCTGGACCCTGAAAGGCCGATCCCCGTTCTAGAAACGGTGCGCCGTCAAGCGGCTCTCAAAGACGTTTAACGGTATCCCGTAACCACGTTTCTGGGTCTTGTTTCCCAGGATAACAAACGACCTTTGTTCACATGTCTGGCGTGCCTGGCTAATCTTCTTTGGCATCGTGTTCACTATCCGAAGGCCTCCACAGCTCATTCAACTTTCATATCCTAAGCGAAGATTATACCGGTACGAGTCGTCATGCCCAACCCCTGTCCAATGGCCCATTCAATCAACGGGCAACTCAGGGAGCTATGCCCCTTCAGGATGGGAACCCCTGGGCGCTCAGGAACACCTGCAGGGACCAGGAACTCGACGCAACAAAGCGGAGGACTCCAGTATATCCCGTCATCTCCAGGCTCCAGCTCATCCGAGCAGTCATCACGAGCATAAGTCTTACAAGGCCATGGTTCATCGCTAGCAACCACGACTCACGACTTACCAGCCTAGAGACTTTCTGAGTGCCATTGACGAGAACTGCCATCTGCCCTCCATACACCAGCTCCAACTAGCAGCAAGTTATGACCCCCCAAACAGAAGTAATCCGGCCATGCGGCAACATGTATGCTACATTCAAACTTACTTTCCCGACACCACCCTCGCACGAGCAAAACTGACATGAACACAGGGAAAAGTACTCAACAGCCCGGCACTCCCTCGGCCTCTACCGCTGCGTCGCCGTCACCGGCCGCTACGCACTCCCATCGGGAATCTCAACCCTCTCCCAAGCCAAGCAACTTCTCCAAGACGCCGTCGCACAGGTCATCGCAGAGCAACCCTTCATGCAAGTCGGCATCGCCGACGAAGACAAACAAACGTCCTCGTTCGTGCGCGTGCCACAAATTAACTTGTCAAACCATATTCAGTGGTTCCCTCCGTCCCACTCCGGCTCCGGCTCCGATTCCATCTCCAACCCTGACACCACCGGCGGGCCGGGACCGGACGCAACCCTCTGCAAACACCTCTCCCACCAACACGACCAGCTCTGGCCCGAGACAACCCAACGTCCACCATGGAAAATCTCCATCATCCCAATCCAACCCTCCCAACACTCACAAAACTCACCACCAGCAGAGATCGAAGTACTCTACTTCTTCCACCACGCAATAAGCGACGGCACAAGCGGCTCAATCTTCCACAAACGCCTCCTCCACGCCCTAAACAACCCCTCCCCTTCCACCACCCACAATCTCCAATCCAACAACATCCTCACCCTCCCAACCCCTCCAACGCTCACCCTCCCCCAAGAACACCTCGTCAACGGCCGCATCTCCTGGCCCTACTTCCTCCGCGAACTATGGTCCGCCTTCGGTCCCGCCTGGCTCAAACCCAAACCTGCCGCGTCTCCATGGACGGGCGAAGCCATACGTCTCTCCACGCCCTTCCACACAAACGTCCGCATAATCACCATCCCCGCCACAACAGTCTCCAACCTTCTCGCAGCATGCCGCGCGCAAGACCTGACTCTGACACCCCTCATCCACGCCCTCGTCGCAGCCTCCCTCGCGCACCATCTCCCCTCAAAGACAGCACCCTCTTTTGAACCGTCATCCGCAATCAGCATGCGCCGCTTCGCACAAGATCCAAGCCTCGACATCGATAACAAAATGTGCGTCCTGGTGACCTCGACGAATCATCCCATCTCAGAGTCTCTCACCACCGCACTACGCGACTCTTCCTCCTCCTCGGCGGGTCCAACCCTCGAAACCGCAATCTGGACCGTCGCATCCTCCATCAAAACCGACCTCCAAACTCGCCTAACAAGCCTCCCCAACGACGACATCACAGCAATGCTCCGCTACGTAAGCAACTTCCACGACTTCTTTCGGACAAAGGACGGCAAGCCGAGGGGGAATAGTTGGGAGGTGAGTAATCTGGGCGCCATCAACGGCAACAGCAGCAGCAACAGCAACAGTCATGCCGAGGTTGGGAGCGGGAACGGTTGGAAATTAACCCGCGCCGTCTTCTCCCAATCCGCCGGTACCGTCGCCCAAGCCTTCTGCGTCAACGTCGCCGGCATCGCGGGCGGCGAGACGACCATCACCTTGACGTGGAACGAGGCCATTACCGAGACGGAGGTTGTCGAGGGGTTGGTTGGTGATTTGGAGGTGTGGACGCGGAAGCTTGCTCGGGGCGAGGCATTGTAACGGGGAGGGAGTCGGAGGAAGTTGGCAGATTACGCGAGGGGCTGGTAACCCCTGGAAGATTATAACGTCGAGATGAAATGTGCTCATATAGGAACCAGAGTAATGATAATAGAAATGAAAGGTGTTAGGATCAATATATGGTACGGCTATACTACCCGCGGCAGATGAGATTATCTCAATACCTTAGCCGGAGTGTGACATTCATTGACGAAATCGAACGGCCTTGAACAAAAAATGCGGAGGGGTTACTCATTAAATCTATAATCTGTTTCCCACCAGCATCGCGCCAGGGGGAAATAGTGCTCGAGGGAGACCGGCGTTATGTACCAACGTCCCACGCAATTCCTCAGTCTATGTCTCGTCTCTTTGATCATTACCATTTTGATGAATAAGGAAAAAAGTACAAACAGGGCCCGGTCGAGATGACGGGATGACCCCATTGCTCACAGCCCGCGGTCCACCCATGGGAGAGCCTCTCTTCGACTCACCCCTCTCTCAAATCAACGCCGAGAATGCAATGCCATCACATGGAGACCAGATCCCGGACCGCGAGGCAACCCTTCGCTCTACCATCGCTCACAACACAAAAAGAAAATTGAAAACCAATCATGACACCTTCTCAATCAACTACCATTGGTCGTTTTGGCGCCGCCTTGCTGACCCACGGAAGTAGTCGTATTGGGTCGGATCCGGGTCGGGCGTCTCGGCGTCAGCCTGAGGGAGTCCACTATACCCCCTCGGTCCGCCGCCCAGAGCACCAACACTCGGTCCACCCGTGGGTGCGCTCATTGGCATACCCGCGGCATTTCTCACGAGCGCCGTGTCGCTGCCGTTGCTGTTGATGGTGTACAGGGGGCTACGGGACCGCTCGCCCATGGTCGCTTGTTGAGCGAAGCCAGCTTGGGGCGGTCCCATGGTAGGGGACTGACGGCCGCTTCCCGTTGGCGACATGTACCCGGCAGGCGGAGTAGGCCTAGAACCGGACATGTCGCGGCGCTGACCTGTCATGCCGCCCTGCAAAGCAGCGTTCGTGGGCGTTCCGGGGCGAGAGCCGAAATCGGACATTGATCCAGGGGTGCCGGGGCGCATGATATCAGGATCCCGTCCAAAGATGTCGCCTTGGCCATGCTCCTCTGCGAATTCCGCCCTGTTCTTGTAGAATTCGAAGTCCAGGTTGGACTCGGAAACGAACTCGAAACCGGGGATACCGGCTGACTTGCCAGGCTTGCCAGACTTCATGGGATCCAACGCGTACATGTCCGAGTATCCAGAAACACTCATCATGTCGCCAGTGTTGACATCTCTTCCGTCCGAAAGGCGACCCTTATACACGACATGCAAGTAAGGCTGGGCCTTCTGGTGCACCATCGGAGTGATGAGAGGTTTGTACAAGGCCGGGTGGCCGAAACGCGAAGCCAGGCGCTCACTGCGAAGGCGGGTTTCCTTCATCACGCCGGCCTCGGGGTGCTTGGCAACGTTGGTGGTCGAGAGGTAATGGATCTTGTCGTCGTACAATCGGGAGCAGACGACCTTGAATATGATCAAGCAAATGGGCAGAGGGATAATGGCAAAGGCCTGGCTGTGGTAGGCCCAGTCGGCTCGCGCCCATGAGCTGAGGAAGAAGACACAGTTTGATAGGAAGACGGCGAAGAGCATGCGGTTGAATAGCACGCGCCAGAACATGCCTCCAGACTCAGTCTTGGTGACGAAGATGTAGAGCAAGAGGTACTTCTTGAGCCAGTAGTCGATTCCGTAGTACAACGCGGCGGCAGGAAGAACCAAGGGCTGGATGCCAGAGAAACCCAGGGCAACTGTCGCGTAGTAGAGGAAGTAGTTGTAGTAAGAGGCGTACTCAAAGGTGGGAGGTGCCGTAAGCTCAATGAGCTCTCTGGGCGTCGGGCTCGAGAACTTGCGCACGAAGAAGCTGTAGACGAGTTTCCAAAGCTGGGCGAGATCGATGGCAGCACCAAGGTTGCGCTGGAGGAGCCAAGTGACCCAGAAGGGACTGACTGAGCAAAGCGCCGTGAAGATGGTGGTTGCCAAGTTCTGATCGATAATGGCCTGCCAGGCGTCGACGCTCTTTTCGCTGGTTTCACTCACGATGGCCGACACAAGCGACCAGACGGTGCTGAAGAGCGAGAAAACGATCAAGTTGTTGAACACGAAGAAGGCGTACAACTTGGCCAAAACGTGCCTCTCACGACCCGTCTTGGTCTGGTCTCCAGCTTTCATCGAGAGCCGACGGAAGATCATGGGCAGGACGAGGTAGACCAACGACATCAAACCGGGAGATGCGATACCTTGGACAATGGACCACCATTCGGGATTGGTTTGAAGTTCCGTCTGGAACGCCGGCCAGACCTTGCCGAGGTTGTTGAGGTCGATGAGGAAGATGGCGATCATGGCGTTGGGAGCGATCCAGACAATGGTAAGCAACGCGATCCAGAGGTTGTTCACAATACGCTTCGTCCGACGAATCGAGGGTGTCAGGACCAGGTTATCCCAAAGAATATCGTTCGGGCGCGGGGCCATGGTGATTGTTGCGCCGTGCGGGTGCTTCTTGCGGCTGGCGTAGGCAATGTTGTGCGCCTCAGCAATATCTGCGTAACTGGCAAAGCCATAGGGCATGGTGCTTCGCTTGTCGACACTCTGTCGAACCTCCTTGATCAAGAGTTCGAGCTCCTTGATGCGCTGTGTCAGGTATTCGATAGCGTCGACCTTCTGTCCCTTGGGATACGTCGCGAAAGACGGGTCCTTCTTGGAGGGCTTGCACATCGGCCTGGCAGCCGGGAGTTGATCGGGCTTCTTCATATACTTCGCCAGTACCACCTCCAACTTGCGAACGGTATGATCATGCTGCTCGATCAGCTTGGGGAGTTCCCTGACGTTACGGGCGATGGCGGTGCGAGAAAAGGATGAGGCCGGCACAACTTCGTCGATGATGGTCGCAATGCCTTCGTCGGAGCATTTGGCTTTGGGGATATCGTACATCTGCTAGAGTCAGTTTGGGGCTCCCAGTGGTACGTCATCCGAATATCAATCTTACCATGAGGGTCCGGGCGTGCAAACTGTTTTGGTACTCCTCGCTCTCGAAATACTTGCGTCGGAGGCGCAAGACCTTGCGATAGTTCCACCACAAGAAGCCCATAACAACAAAGGTGATGATGTACGCAACTGCGACTTGTGCCCAGTACGCATTGCCCCATACCGCAATGGGAGTAATCAAGTCGATCCAGGATCTATCCTTGGTCGAACTGCTCTCTGCAGTGCTGAGGTAGGTGGGGATCAGGATTCCGAGGCCAAACACGGAGATGGTCGCGAAGATGTATAAGCACATGCGAACGAAGCGGAGGAAGACAGTGGCGTCCATGCCGACATGGTGCACCAGCTCATCCTCGGTCGTATTCCATAGCGGCGGGATCCAGGACCAGATCTTCTTGCCGATGGGCGGCGGAGCATGTTTCTCGTCTGCATGCTTCAACTTGGGCGCATAAACGGACTGGTTGTACGGTCGAAGAAAGGAGAAGGTGACGGCGATACCGACAGTGACACCAAGTGAGGTGCCCAGAGCAGCCCAGACTGAGTTCTTGGCGAGCTATATGGCAGTCAGCATCCAGCGCGAATTGTCAAAAGCTCAGTAGTGATGGAGGGTTGACAGACCTGAGAACTGAAAGGGTTCTTCAGCAGGTCCAACAGCTCTTTTCCGGCGTCGGTGCTCATCTTGAAGGTTGAGGCCCCTTGGGGCGAGGGGGGCGAGTCGCGTCTCTAGTTGGCCTCGGCGAGGAAGAGGGCAGCGAGAGATCTAGTTGTTGATGTTATCTTGACACCAAGTCTTCGAAAAATGGTGGTTGAGGGAGAAGCTCGGTCGGCTTGTCGGTCGGGTGATTTGGATTCAAGGGCGATGGCACAGGAGCTTGTTCAACGGGGGCTTCTACTGGCTGTTCGTCGCAAAGAATTGGTTTCGGGTTGGGCCTTCGTGTAATGTTACCGGGCGCACAAAGACCGCTGGAAAGTGAGCAAAGAGGCCTGGTAGTAGGTGATGACGTGGTTTGCTGCAGCGAGAGTCGGGGAGAGAAGAGATCGTCAAAAGGGCCCTTGGAAAGGAGCAGCTGGTTCCCACGCACGCGAGCAACGGGAGGGTTAAATTGGGACAATTAGTGGAGCCACAGATGTCGTCGAAGCGGCGCGAAGAGAGGGAGACGATGGGGAGATTGGAACGACTGGCGGAGGGTCGGCGGGATCGCGGGATTGGGGGGAGGAGGAGGAGGGAAGAGTTGGGAAAAGCGAGGGGAAGTCGGCCTTGAAGCGAGCGTATGTAGGACGAAGTTTAGGTTACGGCACGACACGGAGGGATGGTGAAGAAGGACTGCTATGTACAGTAGGAGTAGGGGACGGATGGGACGAAGGAGGGATGGGAAAGGTGGAGAGGCATGGAGGAGAACAGTGAGAAGGAACGACCACTGGAGAGGAAGCTTGTTGAGCCTGGAGGATTGCGTATGTCACTCCTGGAACATCCCAGTCGGGTGGGTGCGCCGATATCCGGGTCTATCGCTGGAGGAGTGCGGTTGGCAGCTCAGAAAAAACTCGTTCACATACATACAGCGCAGTGTTACTCCGTACCTTACTCCATACTTGCAGCCAAAACCACAGCATAAAAAAACATGATAAAAAAATGCATACGTAAAAAAACACGGCCAAGGGGATTGGTTCGCCTCAGGTCTTAGCAATTCTTGCGCTAATAGGGTCTCGAGGCTTGGGATCCACTTGACCCGACCCACCATTACCAAGTTGAGGGATGCGGTACGTATCCTTTTGCTGTACCTGCTGCTCAAGTCATTCGCTCTTCCACTTGACATAGTGGCTGTTTGCTTCCTGTCTGCTCACCTCACGTTGGATGGGATTCTGGAGTTGTAAAGTAAGTCTACTGTTGAATGTCAGATTGCCGTATTCTAAAATACTTCTCACGATGGCAATTCTCCACGTTCGATGCATGTCTTTACATGTCAGCATCTGCAGGAACATGCAACGCTCAGTTGGAATGAACATGTAGTGAGGTAAGGTACCTTTCCAGCCTCGGTACGTTCACAAACCGGTACCTCCAGCCAGGTATTGTTCCTCAGTCTCGCGGACGGAATCGCAAAGAAGACGGAGCATCAGACGACCTCATTGGGCAGAATGCCCTAAAAACTGCCATCCAAAATTCTCTCCCTCTGCCAGAGCTCGGGACACCCACCACCACGAAGTCCCCCGTCCACAGCACCCGCGAGATGCCGTGCCGCCGCTTGGCTTCAATGGAAGAGCCCAGAGCAGCATGGGCCCCCCAGAAGCACGGGAACGCTTTGCATAGGTACCGCGTAGTAGCGCTGTAGCGCATCGGCAGGGCCGCCGCTCGCTCGCTGTGGCTGTGGCTATTTTTGACACCTCGAATGTGTGTCCCACTCACCCACATCACACGCCCTGTGGCCCTGCACCCTTTTTGTGCAGTGGCAGACGATCCCCAAGGAATGCTAGACTCTTCGCGGCAAGAAGGGAATGGATTGGTGGTCGATGAATACGAGGCCCATTCAACAAAGTCCTTTCATACCTTTCATACGGACACCATTCTTCAGATTATGCAGGTCGGGATATCACGTATCCGGCCGATTAAGGACTCTTGCTCCCATCGGCGTCCTCTACACGGCCGGAATGTTGAAGCAGTACGAAGTACTGGAAGATCTGCACCTGGAAGAATCCAAGTACATATTGAGCAAAAGGGTCTTGGCTCGCGTGTTGCGTTCTATGTACCTAGTGTAGGTGTGTCTGGTCCCGCGCTAGAGGCGAGAAATGCCATCATTCCACATGGAAGAAAAGTTTGATGCCGCAGTTTATCCCGAAACAGTTCTAGACGTTTACTACACTGCACCAAGTTCGTTCCGTTTCTTCCTCCGTTCCCAGCATCATGATTCCTCTTGATGAATTTTTGTATTCTCATCATGACCCTCGTCTTTACAACGACACGTCGACATATCCCGTGCTCAAGCATACGGATACACCTTGCGCCCCCCCGTGTCAGGTTAAGTGAAAAGGGGGAACAAAGTGTCCGCGCAGGACCCAAGCCGAAAGGGAAGTCGTTTCCAACCTTTTACTGCGTACAAGTTTATAGTGGTCCTTGCGGAGTACACACTATGCAGTGAGGAGGGTTCACATGACAGGCAAGACCCCGGCAGCGACTCGTCGGCAGGGCTGTGCATTGAGGGGAGGTCCTTTTAGGGGGCTCTGGGAAGTTGGGGAGGTTTGGTCATTTGTGGAGAGACGGGACAGAAGATGGGGGTTCTGATGAAGATGAATTATCTTAGGTTCTCATACAGCAACTTCACTAGGCGCGGTGATTACTACGTAAGCGTCATGGAATCGACCGGTGAGTAAGGTAAGCGAGGAGCATACACCATGCAATACCAGGAACTACTCTCATAGATGGACAGACTCCAGAATAGTGATGAACTCCCTCAATCGGAGCATTTCTTTCCATGCTGCTCAGCCACCCTGCTCCTCGGGGGATGATGCATGACATGAGAAATAAGCATTCCTTATTCTTTCTGCTTCAACCCTTCCACCCTATCAGTCTAATCCACACACACCTTTCACAACATCTGGGTGTTCTGTTCCTGAATACGATGACACCTTATCTCGTACCATCGCTACTTCCCGACTGAAGACTCTCAATTTCATAAGCATAGACACTACGGATACATAGGCAAACCAAATTCCGTCAAGGCTTGACAGTCAAGCTGAAGTGAGGTAAGCCGTCCAGTCCGATCCCCCTCCATCGCCAAGACCACCAATGTTCCCCCTCCCGCAACTCCCGCCGCCTTTTCCAGAACAATGCAAAAGGAAGCTAAGCTACCTTAAGCCACCGTCCCTCTGCCCGCTCACGAAAACGGAAGAAGTCCAGATCCCATCTACGTCGTTCCCAACCGGCCCGTTTTTTTGTTGCACAAAAAACCTACCTATACAGCAAGACCCAGATCGATCCCCTACGTCACAGGGCTTCATCGCCCCCCAAAGCGACGGCGGCCTCTACCTATGCCATTTGCAAAACTTTCCGTGCGCTTTCCCACCGCCGCCACGACGCCGTACCGTTTGAACTGTAAAACATGTTGAGAGACCTAACCGTCCGCCTCACACATCTACACAGACAAAGACGCAAGGTACAAACGCGACGCCACCGCGATCTTTCCATAAATCAGCGCTGTTTGCCTCGAAACCGCTTAGCGTTCATGTCCATGCTCCCCCATTGTTTACTTGTTTTCCCCATTTGGATTACCGCAAGTAAACATACGCACACGCACACCTGGGTCTGAGGCTGAATCTCTCGGCAAGGCGCACATTCCTCACGGTTTTGGTCCCCTGTTCTTGTTGGCTCAGATGGACGTGATGTTTCTCCTAATTATTCATGTTTTTCTGACTGCGCAAGAAAGACGTTTGTCGTCACACACACGCGTCCCCAATCCTCGGTTTGTAAGAGACACGCCAAGTACGCCCAGCTCTCATTCCCCATTCATCCATCTCGCCATCTCCCGAAAGCTTCTCAAACATCCTTCATTCCGGCACAGCCCGTTCCTGAAATATGTGAACCCTCAAAAGGGCTGAAGGACGCGGATAGAACGTCGTCCCAACCCAGAGGTAACATACAACAACAGCGCATGTGCTTGCAGCTTCTCCTCCTCTGTTACGCCCCCCTAAACCCGCACCCACGTAAGTCGACGACGAATTGATCGACAAACCCTTGACTTTCGGGGTGACGCGGTGTGTGGAGAAATCCACTGCTTCCGTCACGGTCTGGACCGCTTCGAAAGGAGCCCTTTTCCTCGCCCCAAGTCGAAACCCCCGCGTATCCTGTAGACGTCATCCCGCCTCTTTGCTCCATTGATCCCTCAAAAACATGATCAGAAGCTATTCCGTATCTGTGAATCTGGACAGCGTTTGAGCATCCAAAGACTTTGGCGCAGATTCCACAAATTTCTTCCGACTCGGAGCACTGCTGCTGGCAGTCCGATGTGCAGGCGATCGAGATGTACAATACCTACCCTAATGTGCCTATGCGTGAGTGCGTGAGGTACTTTTTGTAGATATCACGACTTCCCTCTAAGCTGGAGATACGCGTCGAGGACGTGGCGACAATCATATCAGCTGAACTCACAGCGGCGTTCAGAGAGGGTTGATACATCATTCAAGGCCCCGTCACCTTGAACCATCGACATTTAAGTGCCAAGTCAAATCATCGAGTTATCAGAGCCCATAATATCTTGATTCAAAGGTCCTACCCAGCCATGAGATAACTTCTTGCCTTCGCCTCTGAGCCTCAAGGCACGTTCTACTCGACAAGTAGGGGTTCGATGGGCTCGCTCACTATTGAAATAGTAAGACGTCCGACTCGACACTGCACCCTCGTCACTTGATTTCACATGTCTGCTGTTGACCTGTTGATTGTCACTTGGCATTCTTGACGACCATCAAAGCGAGGACACGAAAGCAAGTAAACAAAAGTTCTTGTCAAATGCCATGATTGCCTCACGATTCTCGACTGCCCGTGTTTCTGAGTCGAATCATCCCTCAACCTTGCTCTCCCATCATAAGTTGCATAAAAAAACTACGACGAGACTGGTAAGCTGCATGTGCAAGCGTCCTAGTATATACAGTATCCTAATTTCCTCCCACTCAGTGTCGATACGACTACGACCTGAGCTACAATGACAAAAAGAAAGAAGCAGAAACAAAAACCCGCGCCCCCTTTTTGCCTACCCATCATAAATCCGCGGGGTGAAAAGAGAGACGCCCGCCCGGCTGGTCCAAACCCAAGCTTCGACCATTATGGTCTCGTTGTTGCTAGAGTAGTCTGTAGGACTCTTTGACATTCAAGGAAATCCGAGGCGATACGGGTACGTGCCTCAGAAGCATTCGACTCACTGCGTGGCCTGCTTTAGACGGGTCCTTGAGAGCGAGTCTTGCGCTCAGTTCGACCGGGAGAGTGCAGAACCTTTTTAACCTTACTGGCGACCTTGTGGCCGAAAGATTCCTTCTCCTTCTTGGGACTCTCCTTGACTGGCTTCGCAGCACCATTTGAAGGGGGTCGTCCAGGGCCTCTCTTGGCCTTCTTCTCTGCGGGCTTTTCCTCCGGAGCAGCCTCGACAGCTTCGACACCATTAGTGCCGTTGGTGCCATTGGTGCCGTTGGTCTCGGTTAGCTCGTCCGCTTTGCGCTTGTTGCTCGTCTTGGCCTGCGGCGCGGCCTCGCGCTCTCCAGTGCCGGTGGGCTCGGCGTCGTTAAGGGCACCGGTCATCTCGACATCCTTGGTGGCAGCGCCATTGGCGGCTTCGGGCTTCTCGATGATTGGTTCCTTGACTGCCTCTTCCTCAACCGCGGGTGCCTTGAGTATCTGTTGCGGGATAGGCTCTTCGACGGATTCCTTGACGGGCTCGGCGATGGGTACAGAGGTTGCAGCCGTCTTCTCCGCAGGCTGTTCAGCGGGGATGACCTTGGCCTCCTCGGTTCCCGTCGTCGCAACGGGGCCGTCTTTGTCGGGGATTTCCTCGACGGAAGCCGGCTTGGGCGCATCGGCGTTAGCTTCAGCCGCAGCTGGTGCAGTTGGCGCATCGGCCGGTGGGGCCAAAGCAGGAGGGTCCGCAAGTTTGGCGGGCTCGGCAGGCTCAGCAGCTGATATCTCTCCGACTGGTGCGACCTCGTCCTTCTTCTCTTCGACTGGCTTCGTCTCCGAAGCTACAGTCTCTGTGGGCTTCTCATCCGCGGCGGTGGTGGCGGTGGTGGTTGCGACAGTCTCGGGAGCTGTACAAGGGGAAGAATGTCAGCGCAAGAAGGTCCGAGCGTGAGTATAGGCGCGGCGATGGGGGAGATGCGATGCGCCGGTACACCGCGAGATGATGAGCCGACACAGGGCGCATACGATGGCACCGCCGTACTGAGGCGACGCGACAACGATGGGAGCTTCACGACACCTCTTGCTCACCTTTGTCGATGCCAGCTGCGGCTGGGACAGCTCCAGGAACGGGATTGGGGTCCATTGCGATGACGTAACGGGTATCCGGTGGGCGCACAGTGCGCGATCAGAGATGTAGCAGTCGGTGGTGTGAAAGGGCTCAATGGCCGAATTCGAGAATCGATGTGAGTAGTAGATGATGGAAATGGCTGTGGTGATGCCGATTGGAGATGAGATAGCTGAAGAATAGTGGGTGAAGTTTGTGGCAGGAGGAAAGACGAAAGGAAGAGAGGGAAGAAGAGAAGAGGTGAGGTTGGCGTCGGAGCATGGGACTCGGCAGAGCTCCTGCTCCTCACCGGCTGGGCCTTGCTGCAACCACACAGCAAGTCATCGCACGGAAGAAACATGGGGTTGGGAGGCAGGAGACACTGGGGGTGGGAGGGAACGCTTCTGGTTCCACGGGGGACGGGACGAATCAGCAACGGAAAGGGCGGGCTCGGAACACGCCATTGCTATTGCCTCAGCCATTGCGGACACAGCTTCCGTGCTGTGAGAGAGAAAGTGTGTGAGTGTGAGTGTGTGTGTGCGCTGTGCTGACCCTTAGCTCTACCTCTACCTCTACCTATGGACAACAGGGAGCGGACCTCGAGCGACGAGAGTGAAGCTGTGAGCTTGCAAGGAGAAGGCCGGGAAAGCAAGGTTCCCCTCGCGGCACATTGGGTGGAGAGAAACCTTGGACCGTCAAGTCAATCTGACGTGACTGAGAGCTCCACGGACGCCGATGGCCAAACCTGGCGATCTTGGTATGTTACAGGGCTGGCGAGGAGGAGCTAAGACCCGGTTAAGATCCGGTTAATCCGAAAGAGGCCTAGTCGATGGACAAAGCTGGCAAGCTGAGTGTTTTGGGTCGAGTCTGCTGAGGCGAGCAGACGCCGATGAGAGCAGCTGGAGTTTGTTTAACGGTCTTCCATGTGTGCTGCCATTGCTACCGTTCAACGGCATCTCATGAGTGGTTTCTCGGATGATTTGAATGCCATCTTCAAGCACGACAGAGGCACAGAGCGCTTCGGCGTTGTGAAGACGGTGTTGCAGGTCCGTCTCAACGTCTTGCAACGCCGAGAATGGGAAGATGGTCAGTCAAACCAGCTAGACCGTATACTCACCCCAGAGACACACTGTACAGAGGAAGCGCAAGCTCACCTCACTCTGCAATTCCCGATGGGATGCGATCGATTCCTGGCTGGCGGGTGACGCTTGCCAGGGCAGAACTGCAGCGTCGCGGTGGTGCAGCAAGGCGGATGCGGGGAAGGACCAATGGCTGGCCGTGAGAGCAGCGCATCATCTCCACCCTTAGCCAACCGATATTACGTCAGCCAATCAACACCTCGCAAGGAAAGAACCACGTCTGAGCTTTCTGGACAGCTGCACGCCATCTCTGATCGATGATTTTACCCCGGAAAGCTCTTTGGTCCAGCAGGACGGGACCAGCTAGAAATAAGGGTAGACGGAGGTTTTGCAGATATTTTCCTGTTATTATTAAGAAATTCGTCGTGCCTGTAGATGTTTGCGATTCCTTCTTTGATTGATTCAACCGATTGGCAAAACTTGTGTCTTCCATCCTCTGTGAAAGCCTCCACTCCTGACCGCAATGCAATACCAACTTGCGAAGGTATTCACTCATCAGCAAATCCAGGCAGCTTTCACCTTGGCTGATGGAAAGAGTTCAGAGGTTCTTTCAAATCGCAGCATAGATCAAAAGTTCTCTAGGAGCTGCAACAGACACTTTTCAAAGTGCATAGGAGACAATCAAATTTAAATGCCATCTTCTCCATCATGGGCGGCTTTCATATGGATGGCCGCCTCATAAGTACCTGGCAAGTGGGTGACAAAATCGATTTCCGCTCGACACATTCGACATGCAGTTCCATCGCTATTATCACTAACACCGCTATTATTACTAGCATTAATATCTATTATATAGAGTGTATTTCTCTACGTATATACTTAAGAAGGACCTTAATATAGAAAGGGATAGTAATTATGATATGAGTAGTGAAAGGGGTACTTATCAAGATGAAGAGCAGGAAATCGATTTTGTCACCCACTTGCTTGGTAAGGAAGGTACCTAGGTATGCATGCCTTGGTTAGTTCCTTCCATGCAAAGGTAGCACTGTGGAAGAGATTTGAAGCTTTAGTCCAATTCGGGCAAGAAGCTTGGGCAATAAATTGTCCAGCAAGCTGTCGAAATATAACGCAAAAGAGAATCGCCCAGATTTACTCAATTTTTGTGCTTTGTTTTCTCTTTTGTTAATGAAAGTGCTTCCTTTGGTGGGTGCAAGAATTGACGGTTTTGTTGGCAATTAAGAAATGTAAAGGCAACCTGAAGCTGATGTGCAGTGGTGCCAGGTGGTGATGTCTGGTGCTCCAGTGTCCCGCCCTGTGGTTCCCCCCTAGATTTCAGGGGCTAAATGGGGCTTAGTCATCCACCACTCAAGGTGCCAAATGGCATTCCACCCCCAAAGGACAGACAGCATCCATCGCCGTGAAGCTTCAAACGCGCAGCCAACTTCAACACGCTCCTTTCCGCCAAGCCAAGTTCGACTTTTTGTGTCTCTATTCTCTTCGATATCCCCCCTTTCTTAAATACAGAAACCTTTTCCCGATCACAACAATGGCTACCAACAAGTACTCGGTCATCCTGCCGACCTACAATGAGCGTCGCAACCTGCCCATCGTCGCCTGGTTGCTGAACCGCACCTTCACCCAGCAGTAAGTGCGATCCCTCCCTCCAACCCCGATTTATATCGTCTCCATAGACAATCATGCTTGGAAATACATATACTAACGACCATCCATCCCAACAGCAAGCTCGAATGGGAACTCATCATCGTCGACGACGGCTCCCCCGACGGCACCCAAGAAGTCGCCAACCAGCTCGTCAAAGCCTACGCCCCGCACGTCATCCTCAAAACCCGCACCGGCAAGCTGGGCCTGGGCACCGCCTACGTCCACGGCCTGCAGTTCGTCACCGGCAACTTCGTCATCATCATGGACGCCGACTTCTCCCACCACCCCAAGTTCATCCCCCAGATGGTCGCCCGCCAAAAGGAGGGCAACTACGACATCGTCACGGGCACCCGCTACGCCGGCAACGGCGGCGTCTACGGCTGGGATCTCAAGCGCAAGTTCGTCTCCCGCGGCGCCAACCTCTTCGCCGATACCGTCCTGCGCCCCGGCGTCAGCGACCTGACGGGCAGCTTCCGCCTCTACAAGAAGAGCGTGCTCGACAAGGTCATCTCGAGCACCGAGAGCAAGGGATACACGTTCCAGATGGAGATGATGGTGCGCGCCAAGGCTATGGGTTGCTCTGTCGCTGAGGTGCCCATTACCTTTGTCGACCGCGTCTACGGAGACAGCAAGCTTGGTGGTGACGAGATTGTCGAGTACGCCAAGGGTGTGTTATCGCTGTGGGCCAAGGTTTAAGGGAGACGTCTCCTTTGAAAGTGGAAGAATGAACATGGGAAAGGGAACGGGAGAAGAAAATTAGAAGTGATACGATACCGAGAGTTTTTGTTTGCTGCTGGACACATTTGGCATGAATTGGGCGTTGGGGGACGACGGGAATCCAAAGTACCGATACCTAATTATGAACAAGTCGCATGAAATCTACAATTTGTGCATTAATGTGAAGGGGGTCGCCATATGCCCAAAAATTGCTAACTACATCCACTCCAAACACAGTTTTTTACATGTTCCGGCCACCAGTCACCATGATCGTCTGGCCGCTCACATAGCTAAACAGCGGACTAACAACAGCAAGCACCGCAGAAGCCGCCTCAGTAGGCGAGCCAGGCCTCCGTAGCGGAATATCAGCATGCGCATCCTGCTCAGCCGCCCCAGCCGCTTTCTGCGCCTGCGGGATCCCCAGCGCAATCTTTTCACCATCCGGCCCGGTAATAAACGCACCCTTCTCCTTGGCATCCGTCAACCGCGTCTTAATGAACCCAAACGCAACGGTATTCGCCCTAACACCAAACGCAGGCCCCCACTCCTTGGCAATCGTCTTGGTCAAGCCCGTGACGCCGGCTTTCGCCATGGCGTAGTTGGCCTGGCCCGCGTTGCCGTGGACGCCCGAGGTGGAGCTGATGTTGACGACGCAGCGGTTCTCGCCGTCCTTGACGCGGAAGTAGGGCGCCGCGGCGCGGACGAGGCGGAAGGGGGCCGTGGAGTGCAGCGCGATGATGGTGTCCCACTGCTTGTCCGTCATCTTGTGGATGACGCCGTCCCAGGTGTAGCCGGCGTTGTTGACGATGTGGTGGATCTTGCCGCCGCCGAACTCTGCTGCTTTGGCGACGAGGGTGGTGATGTAGTCTGCTGAGAGCATGTCGCCGGGCACACTGATGGCTTGGCCGCCTGCGGCGGTGATGCTGTCTGCGACTTGCTGTGCCTTTTCTGTTTGGAGGTGTCAGTTATGAGAGATTGGTCAGCTAGATTGTGGAAGTCATACTGCCGTCAATGTCGGAGACGACAACCTTTGCGCCCTCGTTGGCAAAGAGGCGCGCTGCTTCGGCGCCGATTCCCTGTCCGCTGCCGGTGATGATGGCGACTTGGCCGGCGAGCATACCCTTGGGGTAGTTCAGGTGAGATGCGATTTGTGCTACGCGGTCCGACATGTTGGCGATGATCTCAAAGTAGTTGGCTTGTCTTCAATTGATTGATGTGGTGTAGAAGCTAGTCAAGCTCAAGTGACGATATGTTGCTACGCAGTATATGATTCCAAAGGCAAGGGTGAGATTTGAGGGACAGCTCTATAAGGCTCGAAGTGTCATTGGAGCTCCAAGGTGAAAACCCCTGGGCTGCCGAGGTTCCCCGCGGTTCTCATTCCCGGCCCTAGACGAGGTGACGAGGTACCGGTAGTGGGGTAAGAGCCATCGGGCCCGGGCGATGGACTTGCTGGACGCGTTAGATGACAGAGCTCCAACGAGTCAAACTACGAGACCAATGGGCTGCAATGAAGTCGACTTCTCGTGGTCTGAATGTGTGAGTATATCATTGGAGTGTCAGAACAGGTACAGCATGAACATCAAAAAGAGCACTTTGAATCCTCGCATCAATTCGTGGAAGTGACGTTCTAGTGGTACCTCGAGCCTTGGCGCCCCAGTTTGGGGATTAGATAAGATAAGGGGGAAGGTGGGATGTCTCCGTCTCTGTTTTGACGACATGCCTTCTGCGACAGGCCGTGTCAACACCCCGCCGTGCCAAGCTTCGAAGTCCACCAGCCAACAGCCATGTCAACCAGCGGAGGTCGAGGAGGCCGAGGAGGAGGCGGAGGTTACGCGGGCGGGGGAGGAGATTGGAGAGGAGGTGGTAACAGAGGGTTTCGTGGCGGGAGAGGTGGAGGGAGAGGAGGAGGCATAGTAAGAGGCGGCGGCGGCGGCGGTGCTGCTGGTGGTCCCGGCAGAGGAGGGCGTTCACATTCAGGGCCATGGGGAAGACTCAAGCCCGTCGACTTGGATCCTCTTGACAGCTACGGTCTTCCTTCAAAGGGTGACACAAGGTATGGCCAGCAACTATCAGCTCCGTTCTTCACGATCCTCTGCTAACCAACGCGCCTCCCCAGACTCCTAAACTTCAAGACGCAAGAACAATACTACACAAAGATCGTCGAACGCTACATGACATTCTGCTCCGACGCCGGCGAGCGCGACGAACTCCTCCGCCGCTTCGCCTCCCTCGACATCGCAGACTACCCCTCCGTCTCCCCCGCCGCCTCCCCCAGACTCCTCGACGACCCCTCCAGCACAAAGGCTCTATCAGACGTAATGATGGCCCTCCGCAAGCTCCGCGAGGGCATCGTGGCCTCGAAACGCGTGGACGACTTCGCGATCCAGGCATACCTCTTCAATATCCGCCTCTCGGTCCTCGTCAAGCACCCGGAATCCTATCACCCGGCCATCCTCCACGTTCTGCGCACGATCCACCCGGCGCGTAACCTGACCAGCGTGGAGCTGCAGGAGGTGTTGTCGTATCTCGTCCTCGACGCGGCGTGTCGAAGGGCGGATCTGGCGGAGGCGTATGCGATTCGGCATAGGTATAAGCTGCGCGATGCAAAGGTGGATGCCGTGCTAGCGGCCCTGGCGCACGATAATTATGTTGCGTTTCGGAGGGTGCAGGGGAGCGTGGACGGGCACCGGGCCAAGTTGCTCGAGTTTGCTGAGGCGGATGTGCGGACACATGTGTTGAAGTGCTTTGGGAGGACGTATTTGGGCGTTGATAGGGAGTGGTTGGAGAAGTGTTCTGGTCAGGACTGGGAGTCGTTGACGAGGGATCACGGTGTTGGGTGGGAGCTTGATGGGGCGAAGGTTGTCATTAGAAAGGTTAGAGCGAAGTGAGGGGGAGTATTGTTGGGATGGTAGATATGGTGCATTTGATACCCCTGAATTCAACAAGAGCGTTATGAAATTTGGTGTGCCTTATGGCTTCTAGCTATTTGGTATGACAGCTCGGTCTTTAACTGAGGCTATACCCATAACCTCGAATCCTTGTTTGTTCCGTACAATTATCGAGAGAGTCTCTACTGTCAGGTAGTATATCTGAGCGAACATGTGGACAAAGATCGGTCAGATTATGGCGTTCATCACCAATGGAATCAATTGGCATAAGAATGATAACTCAGACCTTATGTCTCGTATTCACTTCGATCTCACTTCGTCAAATTTTGCCAAGACGACTAAATCACTTCTGTTTTCCCTCGAATCCCCACTCATGAAGTTTGAAACCTCCGACGACGGTGTTGCGTTCTATTTCTCCCGACTGTACGATATCTGACAGCCCATCAACCATACTCGCGTCCTCCGTTTCCTTCAACCTTGAATCACGGCGTCTAATGAGGTGGGCAGTGGCCCAAAACCAGATAACAAACAGCATTCCACCAATCCACATTGATATCGAAAAGGCATTTTGATTCTCGAGCGTTTTGAGAATGTCGTTCAGTGAAAGCATATATCCTAAGATAGCAACAGGGCTAACCGAGAAGGTTAGCAGTATACTAGATCATTTTCAACAGGAAATGACTGACTTGAGAACCCGGGAAATGGCATCAAGGATATGGTCAGAGAAAGTGTAGACCGGAAGTGTTTTTTCGAAATCGCTTGGTGGTCCCTTTTCAATATCGGGATTTGTCTCGGAAAATTCCATAGTGCTGGTGGGGTATGATAGAAGACTTGATCTGTGAGAGAGAGTATCTCTGAGTATATACCCTTCTGCTTCTGAGAGTACATGTAGTTTAGGTTTGGCAAAGGTTGTCAACGGATGAATGTTCGAGAGTCTACACACCTGATAGAGACGACACCTGATGTAACCCATTGAGCTCAAGGAAAAGTCTGCCGACCCATCAAGGGGTCTGGTAAACCGCCTACTGCGTCAGCGTGACTGCCGCCGCCAGGCTGTGCTTCCACCAACTTTAAACCTGGAAGTTGACGACAGGGTGTCCGGCTCCACTTGGACATGACTGTGGTGCCTCGATCTCAACAGCAAGTAGTAGAGGACATGCTCAGAAAACAAGGCTCTGCTTCCGCTTTGCAGTGTTCCAGCTTTGGAGGCATTTGGTGAACTACTTGGCTTGTAATTTCACCACTTCGGGCGTACATCACTAGCAGAAGCTGAGACAATGAAACGGATCGCCTAGGCATCTTGAGCAGGATTTCTTTAGGACCGAATCTAACGCCCATCATTCGAGAGAAACTCCCGTCAAGGGACTTATCCCTTTTTTATGAGTTCTATTCAGTCAACCGCTTGAAAGCGTCCATACATGCATGCGATTTTGTAAGTATTAACAATAATTATGGATTGATCCGATACTACCTCGTTCCTATGCGTTCGCTTTTGAACATTTTGAAGGTATACCCTAATTACAGAAAAACTAAAAATTGGTGCAACGACACCATTTGCCAGGTGATGTGATAAACGCATGAATATGAGAAACGTGCCACTTGCAAGGTGATAAATCTTCCCGGATTATCCGCAGCTTACGGTAATAGAGACCATACCTGAGCCTTCTTCTTCCACATTCCAGGCAATTTTCCGAAGGACGACGGCTTCCTATAAATTTGGTCCATAATGGACGCAACATACCTAGCCTGCGTCAAGCTGAACTCAGCGAGCAATTCAGGATGAGCCTCTAGATTTTGATGATTGCTGACAGGAACTTCTCCAAAAAACCAGATTTTCGGATCAATGCGATTCCGAATAGACGCAATATACTTATCCTGCTCTAAGCTGAGCTTAGCGAGGAATTCAGGGTGAGACTCTAACGTCTTATGATGGTCGACAAGAAAATCCCAATCGCATTGCTTACAGAAAGCCGAGATAATGTTATCTCGGAACCTGGCCTGGTACTGGTGGTTGACGTCAAGCATCTCAAAGGCCTCCAAGATACGGTCTATTGTTGCATCTTCCGCGTCGACGGTGCACATTTGGCGCGGGGTAAAAGAAATACAGCCTCGGAGAGCGTAGCCTACTTGCTTTAGGAGTTCCACGTTTTGTAAAAAGTCAATAAGCTGGTAGAGCTCGATGGGATACGCCCAATCGGCGACGAGTGGGTAGTCTCTCGACAGGATGACCACCTCACGCCCCTTTTGCAATTGACGATGTGCGAGATCGAGGTACAAGACCATTAGATCAGGATCGACATCGAGCAGGCGGATGGTGAAATTCCTCGATTCTTGGCAATCATTTCCTAGGCAGGCTCTGAAGAAGTCAGACTTCTTGGTGATGAGAGATTTCTGGACGACAAAGGATTTGTTCTCCGCACACTCGATTATGATACGGACTTGATCGTCATCATCTCCACTGCTATAAATAAGACAGTTAGAAATAGAAAAGTATGATCAAAGGCATCAGAGCACAATACCTAATGGGAAAGAGTACCTCTCCATCTCGATCCGTCATGGCTTCAGGCTCGTTATGCATCGTATAAGCTGCGTCAAAAAGGACAGAAGTAAGTAAAGATGGAAATGGTGTTTCTTGTGTTGAGTACTACTCTTTATTTGGTAATTGAGGTGTTTGTTTTGGAGATAGGTTAACTCAGAAAGATGAGAGATCGAAGGCATAAGAGAGGAAGGGGGTAACAGAGAAAGAGCCCGGATTCTTATCTTCCATTCAGGCAGCCATCCAGGTTGAACTTCATCTTGCAGTCTGGTCACAGAATTTGTGTTTTCGCACTTGTGACTCGTATGGAATCCGGTCTCTTCGATAACAAGGTACTTGCGCTACTCACAGAGAGAAGGAAAGATAATGTAGAAGCACAATACTTAGCTGCTAATTTTCCGTGATGCTGGTCAAATGGACCAATTCTCCCATCCAACCAGTTGACTGGAGAGATTTCATAACTACTAGTAAGAACGGTCTCCGGCTTGTTTAATAGAGTCGGAGAGCGCTGCGGCGCTCCTGTTACTTAGCCATCAATGTGTGTAGCGCTATTAGATGTGGCGGGTATATAGAGAGGGGGGTTAAAGGGTAGAGGTAATAAGTACAACTTAATAAGTACGTAAAATATAGTATGTTGGTAATATAGTTACTTATTAGTAGGTGTTATATAACAATAGAAGAGGGAAGACGTAAGAACTACTTCAGTATTCTACTTTATAAGGAAGAGATTATATAGTTACTAAAGAAAAGCATCTTTAATTAAGAATATCTCGGGGTCAGTAGTAAAGTAGGTAGGTAGCTTGATGAAGAATGAGTAGGTCTATGTAAGGTCATATCCAATCAAAGTCGCCACGCAGCCTTGTTGAACCGGCTAGTCTGGCAGGCGGGCATAGAGCAGGGCGATGGAAGGCCTCGGCCTATAGTTGCATACGGTTGCACGTATCTCGACGCGGTCCGACGGCGGATAATACACTTTGAAAAAAAAAAAAAAAAGCTTTTTTTCTATTTTTATTTTTTTACCAAATCTACTACAGTCCTTCGTGTTACTCTGATAGGCTATTTGACAGGACCATCGCACACGATGCTACGGAATGAAGGAGGACAACGACGGGGCAGCCCTCACCCCTCACCCTCCTCTTTCCCTCGCT